TATCAAAAATTCAAAAATCCGAATTTCTTATAATTCAACATTTTTTCCTCTCTTTTATGGGATTAAGCTTCATTATTTTTGTGCTTTTGGAAAATACTTTACTTATTAAATTGTCTCGACTCTTTGGTAAAAAATCTAAAATTATCGAAAATTATCAAAAATTCAAAAATCCGAATTTCTTATAATTTAACATTTTTTCCTCTCTTTTATGGGATTTAGCTTTATTATTTTTGTGCTTTTGGAAAATACTTTACTTATTTATTAGTCTCGACGCTTTGGTAAAAAATCTAAAATTATCGAAAATTATCAAAAATTCAAAAATCCGAATTTCTTATAATTCAACATTTTTTCCTCTCTTTTATGGGATTAAGCTTCATTATTTTTGTGCTTTTGGAAAATACTTTACTTATTAAATTGTCTCGACTCTTTGGTAAAAAATCTAAAATTATCGAAAATTATCAAAAATTCAAAAATCCGAATTTCTTATAAATCAACATTTTTTCCTCTCTATTATGGCATTTAGCCTAATTTTTTTTGTGCTTTTGGAAAATACTTTACTTATTAAATTGTCTCGACTCTTTGGTAAAAAATCTAAAATTATCGAAAATTATCAAAAATTCAAAAATCCGAATTTCTTATAAATCAACATTTTTTCCTCTCTATTATGGCATTTAGCTTAATTTTTTTTGTGCTCTTGGAAAATACTTTACTTATTTAATAGTCTCGACGCTTTGGTAAAAAATCTAAAATTATCGAAAATTATCAAAAATTCAAAAATCCGAATTTCTTATAATTCAACATTTTTTCCTCTCTATTATGGCATTTAGCTTAATTTTTTTTGTGCTCTTGGAAAATACTTTACTTATTTAATAGTCTCGACGCTTTGGTAAAAAATCTAAAATTATCGAAAATTATCAAAAATTCAAAAATCCGAATTTCTTATAATTCAACATTTTTTCCTCTCTTTTATGGGATTTAGCTTCATTATTTTTGTGCTTTTGGAAAATACTTTACTTATTTAATAATCTCGACGCTTTGGTGAAAAATCTAAAATTATCTAAAATTATCAAAAATTCAAAAATCCGAATTTCTTATAATTTAACATTTTTTCCTCTCTTTTATGGGATTTAGCTTTATTATTTTTCTGCTCTTCGAAAATACTTTACTTATTTAATAATCTCGACGCTTTGGTGAAAAATCTAAAATTATCGAAAATTATCAAAAATTCAAAAATCCGAATTTCTTATAATTCAACATTTTTTCCTCTCTATTATGGCATTTAGCTTAATTTTTTTTGTGCTCTTGGAAAATACTTTACTTATTTAATAGTCTCGACGCTTTGGTAAAAAATCTAAAATTATCGAAAATTATCAAAAATTCAAAAATCCGAATTTCTTATAATTCAACATTTTTTCCTCTCTTTTATGGGATTTAGCTTCATTATTTTTGTGCTTTTGGAAAATACTTTACTTATTTAATAATCTCGACGCTTTGGTGAAAAATCTAAAATTATCTAAAATTATCAAAAATTCAAAAATCCGAATTTCTTATAATTTAACATTTTTTCCTCTCTATTATGGCATTTAGCTTTATTATTTTTGTGCTTTTGGAAAATACTTTACTTATTTAATAGTCTCGACGCTTTGGTAAAAAATCTAAAATTATAGAAAATTATCAAAAATTCAAAAATCCGAATTTCTTATAATTCAACATTTTTTCCTCTCTTTTATGGGATTAAGCTTCATTATTTTTGTGCTTTTGGAAAATACTTTACTTATTAAATTGTCTCGACTCTTTGGTAAAAAATCTAAAATTATCGAAAATTATCAAAAATTCAAAAGTCCGAATTTCTTATAATTTAACATTTTTTCCTCTCTTTTATGGGATTTAGCTTTATTATTTTTGTGCTTTTGGAAAATACTTTACTTATTTATTAGTCTCGACGCTTTGGTAAAAAATCTAAAATTATCGAAAATTATCAAAAATTCAAAAATCCGAATTTCTTATAATTCAACATTTTTTCCTCTCTTTTATGGGATTAAGCTTCATTATTTTTGTGCTTTTGGAAAATACTTTACTTATTAAATTGTCTCGACTCTTTGGTAAAAAATCTAAAATTATCGAAAATTATCAAAAATTCAAAAATCCGAATTTCTTATAAATCAACATTTTTTCCTCTCTATTATGGCATTTAGCTTAATTTTTTTTGTGCTCTTGGAAAATACTTTACTTATTTAATAGTCTCGACGCTTTGGTAAAAAATCTAAAATTATCGAAAATTATCAAAAATTCAAAAATCCGAATTTCTTATAATTCAACATTTTTTCCTCTCTATTATGGCATTTAGCTTCATTATTTTTGTGCTCTTGGAAAATACTTTACTTATTTAATAGTCTCGACGCTTTGGTAAAAAATCTAAAATTATCGAAAATTATCAAAAATTCAAAAATTCGAATTTCTTATAATTTAACATTTTTTCCTCTCTTTTATGGGATTAAGCTTCATTATTTTTGTGCTTTTGGAAAATACTTTACTTATTAAATTGTCTCGACTCTTTGGTAAAAAATCTAAAATTATCGAAAATTATCAAAAATTCAAAAATCCGAATTTCTTATAATTTAACATTTTTTCCTCTCTTTTATGGGATTTAGCTTCATTATTTTTGTGCTTTTGGAAAATACTTTACTTATTTAATAGTCTCGACGCTTTGGTAAAAAATCTAAAATTATCGAAAATTATCAAAAATTCAAAAATCCGAATTTCTTATAATTCAACATTTTTTCCTCTCTTTTATAGGATTAAGCTTCATTATTTTTGTGCTTTTGGAAAATACTTTACTTATTAAACTGTCTCGACTCTTTGGTAAAAAATCTAAAATTATCGAAAATTATCAAAAATTCAAAAATCCGAATTTCTTATAATTTAACATTTTTTCCTCTCTTTTATGGGATTTAGCTTCATTATTTTTCTGCTCTTCGAAAATACTTTACTTATTTAATAATCTCGACGCTTTGGTGAAAAATCTAAAATTATCTAAAATTATCAAAAATTCAAAAATCCGAATTTCTTATAAATCAACATTTTTTCCTCTCTATTATGGCATTTAGCTTAATTTTTTTTGTGCTCTTGGAAAATACTTTATTTATTTAATAGTCTCGACGCTTTGGTAAAAAATCTAAAATTATCGAAAATTATCAAAAATTCAAAAATCCGAATTTCTTATAATTCAACATTTTTTCCTCTCTTTTATGGGATTTAGCTTTATTATTTTTGTGCTCTTGGAAAATACTTTACTTATTAAATTGTCTCGACTCTTTGGTAAAAAATCTAAAATTATCGAAAATTATCAAAAATTCAAAAATCCGAATTTCTTATAATTTAACATTTTTGCCTCTCTATTATGGCATTTAGCTTCATTTTTTTTGTGCTCTTGGAAAATACTTTACTTATTTAATAATCTCGACGCTTTGGTGAAAAATCTAAAATTATCTAAAATTATCAAAAATTCAAAAATCCGAATTTCTTATAAATCAACATTTTTTCCTCTCTATTATGGCATTTACCTTCATTATTTTTGTGCTCTTGGAAAATACTTTACTTATTTAATAGTCTCGACGCTTTGGTAAAAAATCTAAAATTATCGAAAATTAACAAAAATTCAAAAATCCGAATTTCTTATAATTCAACATTTTTTCCTCTCTTTTATGGGATTTAGCTTCATTATTTTTGCGCTCTTGGACAATACTTTACTTATTTAAAAGTCTCGAGTTTTTGGTAAAAAATCTAAAATTTTCAAAAATTATCAAAAATTCAAAAATCTGAATTTCTTAAAATTCAACATTTTTTTTTCTTTTTTATGGCATTTAGCTTCATTATTTTTAGGGTCTTTAAAAACACTTTACTTACTTAAGCAGGGTGTTTAACAAGGATTGAGAAAATAATTCGCTGACTTTTTACTAATTTTATTTCCTCTTTCTTGGGAAAAAAATATGGTAACTGACATATTTAACAATAAATTAATATGTAATGATAGAAACAAACGATAATAAAAATCTTCTAAGTTTTGTTAAAATAAAAAAATGTTTTATTCACGTAAATTTTAATTTTTGAATAAGTTTTTAGAAATTTCCCTGACTTTCAATTAAATTCTCTGACATTCCCTGACTTTTCCCTGACCAAAAAAATTTCCTGACTTTTTCCTGACTTCCCTAACTTCCCTGACCGTTAGACACCCTGAAATTTAATGAATTAATGAATTTCAGGGTTGCCACAAGGCACAAACATTTAATTTTGTTTTTCCCTAATTTTTATTTACATCTTAACAAAATAAAGTAATAAGTTATAAGTTAAAAATAATTTAATTTCAAGTTTAATATAAAAAAAGGATAATCTCTATTTTGTTAATATAACAAAATATAACTATAACTTGAAAAAATTGATAAAATTTTGCAAATTTACTTTTTTCTTAAAGAAGGAAAATTACTTATTTTAAATTATAAAAGAAAACTTAGGAAACATTTAATATTGAGCAAATAAAACAGGAAAAATGTATGCGCATAAATACAAAGAATAAACATTGAAAAGTGTATTAATTTTCATAGTAATACAACATACTGGAAAATAATACACTTTGTCAATGGCGTGTCACTATGTGCTTATAAATTATAAATAAATATAATTTCCCTGTTTAAACAAAACTTTTTTTACAATTTTTCAATAAAATCCTCTATTTTTTAAACCTTGAGTAAAATTATTACTAATTAATTTTAAATTTGTGAATGTAATTAATTTTAAGTTTATGAAAATTCAATTAATTTTAAATTTATAAATTCAATTAATTTTAAATTTATAAATTCAATTAATTTTAAATTTATAAATTAACTTCTTGTAATTGAATAAGGTTTTGTCAATTTTATTTAAAGAAAAAATGGCACGTGAGCTGTTTTAAACAGGGAAGAATTTTGAAGTAAAAAATTGTCGCATCGGACTCACCGAACGGTGAATCCCACGTTGGTCGATGGATGCTATGCCATCGCGCCTCCTCTACGAAGAATGCGGTCCACAATATTTTTGAACGTTCAATTTAGCGAAATATTTTCAAAAAATAAACTGATTACAGTAAAAATTCAAAAATTAAATTTTATATTTAGAAATTTTATGATTTTTTTCTGATGATGCAATATTATTGTAATAAAATTTTAATTTTAAGTTAAGGAACAAATAAATTTCTATCATTTGAACGTTCAGAACTTTGAGGAACACGAAGATTGAAACCTCTCCTCCTGAAGATCATGAAGCAATAATTCCCGAATAAGTATCTTTGCTCCAAATCAAATTGTACCTAGAAATTAAAAAAAACAAATTAATTTCAACCAAAAACAGTTATTTTTCTTTAATTTCGAATTTTTTACACCGAAAAAAAATTTATTTGATTCAAATAACCGATTAATTGACTATTATCAATGAAATATTTAGTTGAATCAAATAATATTTATTGGAGTCAATTAAATGGTATTTGAACCAATAATTTCAGTATTTGAAGCAAATATGTACCATTTAATTAACTCCAATAAATATTATTTGATCCAATTAAATATTTAATTGATAATATAGTCAAGTAATCGGTTATTTGAATCAAATAAATTTTTTTTCAATATATTAAATTACAATTGATTGTAATCGTATTATCAATTTCTTTTTTAATCCACAAGCGAAAATTTCTATATTTTGTACCAAATTTTAGCTTCCAAAAAAAATATTCTCCATTATCATTAATTGAAAATATAGAAAAAAATATTTATTAAGAAAAATGAATAATTATCGTATAGGCAAAAACAAAATTCATTAAACAGAATCAAATTTAATGAATTTAGATTTCAATAAAAATATTTTTTATATTATTATAGTTAATAATATATTTGTTATATAATAATAGTTGACAAATAGTTATCAAAATTAATATACTTGTACTGTCAAAAATAATTTTTGATTAAGAACAATGTATAGAAAAAACAATAATAGTTATAAATAATAAAAATAATAACGAAATTTATTATAAATAACCATTATTATAATTAATTATAATAATAATACTAAAAGAATTAGTGTTCATTTAAACCACATTTAAACTTTTACACTTACTCTCCTAACAAGAGGCAAACATAACCTCCAAACTGAAATCGGGACAAATTTCGATTGTTTCATATATTTTCAGGAAAAAAACACTTCTAACCTTGAAATATTCCAGTCTTATATATGCGAAACATAATTTTTTTGCTGTACGAATTAGATAAACTGGATTGAAAAAAAAATTGGAAACAAAAATACATTGTGACTGGAAAATGCACTTGCAAAGTTTCGCATTATACAAACACAGCGATTAATAATTGTGATGAAAGGGTTAATAGTTCCCTTGGTGAAATATATTTCTTCTACTTATTTGCTCGAGTAAAAACGGTAAAAACTAAGTAAAAATAAGAAAACAAAGAGTAAATAAGCGAAATACTTACACTTCCGTGGTTTAGACAAAAGACCCGATTACAGCGCCGCAGCCATCTTTGTTCAGTTTTCGAAACTAATGGCTTCACGCACTGTCGATAAAACAGAGCGTAGCGTCTCTTTTGACTATTGACGCTGTAGTTTCATTTTCATGAAATTTTCCGAAAATCCTGTAAACAAAAGCAATATATACAAAATTAATTTATACAGAAAAAAAAGATATTCTAAATAGAACACATTATTGCACAAAATTTCTTGAAAAACTATCGCGTTCGATATGGAATAAAAGCAATATTTTTAACAATTTGCGACAATATTTCTTTAAAATGCAACTAACATTGTCGAAATAAGAACAATATTTAATCATTTTTCGTAACATTGCTGCCAATTTCTAGATGAGCTCTCTAAGCTCGGGCTTCAACGCGAGAATAAACTTATGTCGATGAGTAAAAAGTTCTCTAGTGGAAATATTTCTTCTACTTTTATAATTCGATTCATTACTTACTTAAAAAGAAACAAGGAAATGCATTTTTATAAATAATTTGTAGACAAGACTATTCGAAATTTAGAAACTTTTTCTTAAAGAACGCAAAAGATACTTACTCTGTCCAGTGCAGACGATTATGCGATGCCAGCGCCGCAGTTTAATGCCTGAAGCTCGTCGTAATGTCGGTAAAACAGGGCGATTGTCTGACGCATGCGCCCAAGATTTTCAAGATGCTCAAAAATTCTGAAAACAAACATAAAATTCATCAAATTACTTTCAAATACATATTTTCAACTCGAAATAATACGTAAGCTTGCAGCAAACTCGCACTGCAAGTTACCTGCGCAAACTTATATCTTATACGTTGCCAAAATCCCCATTAACATTTTGTCACAATTTTGCTATATTCTCTGAGCACCAGAGCAAAAAATACAGATACTGAATTGGAGATTTCAGCAACGTACATACAAAAAAAGGTTAGGCCACAAAAACTACCGACTCTTTTATAACTTTATCTTTCTCTTTTTAGTACTTACCACTTCGAGCGCCAGGACAATAATGAAGATTCCTTGCAGTCCCACTCACCGCAGTGAAATTGCCTGCACCTGATTGGCTGAGACCTGAGACTCAACCAATGACCGTGCGTGCTGGCAGTGCGCTCTTGCGGAGAATTAAAGAAGCTTAATCGATTTATCGAAACTGTTTAAAATCGATATTCATAAACAAATATTTATTTATTTAAAAACAAAAAATAAATTCCTAGTTAGTGTAAATCGAGTAAATAAAAAACAGCAATAAAAAAATATTGAAAACGTAGTTTTTTAAAATTAAAAAACAAATGAAGAAACAATTAACAAAGTACTGTACATAGTGTCAAATTTGAGGTTATAATGCACTATTTTTATGAAATATGCTAATTTCTCTAAATATTTTCTTTTAAAATGAGAAGAATATATGCAATACTGTTTTTGGAACAACTAATTTCCTTTTTTTGTGAGTACACTACTATTTTAATATTTAAAAAACTATTTATTCACGACAGGATGCAGGGTTTAACTGAAATGCTCCACCAACTGAATTTATTTTCATTTATTTTCAATTTTTTTTCATTTTTATTTATAGTTAAACTAAATAGTATATAGTGAAGTATATTTATATTTATTTTAATGACTCTTACAGTATTTTTCTTAATTTTATATTTTGCAGGAATAAAATTCCATTCGGTTAACTATATTTGTTATTAATATAATTTATAATATACTTTATAATATAATTAATTTATTTATTAATATGATTAATTTATTCCTTTATAATTAATAATTAATGTAATTAATCCATTAATTGATTAATTAATTCATCAATTAATTAAAAAGAATAATAATAATAATTAAATTTGATAAATATTTTAATGCGTAAAGCAACATGTGGAATATAATTCTATTTTTTATAGTAATAATATAATTTACATACAAATTTCATTCAACGTTTATAATAATAATAATAATTGAATAATATAATTAATCGATATTTTTATACTTCGATTCCTATTTTTAAATTAGATATAAAGAAAAAAATACAATATAAAAACCGAGCATTTAGCATTAATTATTTTTCTAAGGGAAATAATTAATACTAATTATTAAATTTAATTACAAACGCTAAATTTTTATTTATCTATTTCTTTTTTTATTTTTCTGCCTTACTTCTCAGTTTTTATCTCATCCGAAGAGTTCGTTGCTTTGGCTTTAAAATTTCTTGTTCTTGGTGTAAATTTAGAAATTCGTATTTTCGGTTTTTCCAGTTTCAATAAACTCTCCTTTGAATTGTTATTATTTTTCTTATTCTCCTCAGATTCGGCAATCTTCTCTTTTTTCGCTTTTAATTTCAATTTTTCGGCCGCTCGATTTTTTCCATAGATTCTCGTAATATGCGATCGTGGTGTTGTTGTTATTATTGAAGAAATTTCAATTTTTCCTGTAGAATTATTTGCCTTTTCTGCAATGGTTCTATTTTGTAATTTATTTTTAAATCGTGGATCAAGAATGGAAATCTTTGGTTTTTTCAGGTCAAATCTATTCGTTTTATTGTATTTTTTCATCTCTCGGTTTATTTTTCTAAATCTTGAATTATTAACAGTTTCTGGTGCGTCTGTGCTTTGATTTATTTTTTCCCTTTCTTTGTGCTCCTCGTCCTCTTTTATTTCGCTGATCTCCTTTTCTTGGGGTAATTTTTCCCTTGTGTTGAATAACATTTTCAGTGGTATATCGTCTTCCAAGTTTTTTAATTTATCCGATATTGTCTCTTTTTTCGTCGATTTCGTCTTCTCTTCTATTTTTGGAATTTTTCTCATGGATTTTAATTTTTGATTTAGATTTAGATTTTCGGTGTTAACTTTTAAATCTTTTGTTTGTTCATTCGTTGTATTGTTTTGTGATATTTCCCCGTTGGAGGGAAAAGTATTTTTGTTTTTTAATTTTTCCCGAGATATTTCTAATTCTTGTTTCACGGCCTTTAGATCTTTTTTTACGGCGTCTAGTTCTTCTTTAATAATTTTGGAGTTTTCTTCAATTGCCAGTTTTTCTTTATTTTCCTCCTCTTCCTTTTTTTCCTTTTTTTCCTCGTTTTCTTTTTTGTTTTCCAATTCTCTCGATTCTGACTCTTTTTTGTCAGTTTTCGACTCTTGGTTTTGATCATCCTCAACTTTTTCTGATTCAATTTTCGATTCATTTTTATCACTCTTACTTTCTGAAGTTACTTCTTTTGTTTCCTCCTCGATTGCTTTTGATTCGTTCTCAACTGTCTTTAGCACTTCTTCAAATCGTTTCGATTCCTTAATGAAAAATTCCTTAACTTTCTCCGCTGTCAATGGCTTCTCTAATTCATCCTCCTTTTTTTCTTCTTCAATTTTTCCATTCTCGGAAAATTCCTTAATTTCCTTTTTAATTTTACTCTGGAAATTTTCTTTTTCTTCCTGATTTGGTGCTCCACGATTTCGATTTCTATTTCTACTTCTGAATCGTGTATTTTTCTTCACGTCATCGATTGAATGTTTAGATTTCGAATTAATTTGGGAAATATTTGGTTTTAAAGTTGTGAATTTATCCCTTGGGATTTGATATTCCCAGGGGTAGGAGGCGGAAATTGTCTTTAGGGCTTCGTCAGTTTCATTTGTACTCGAATTTGAATCAATTGTATCATTTGAATTATTAGAATCCGTTAAACCATAATTTCCATAATCTGACGATTGACTGTTGCGAATTTTTTTCGAATTTTCAATTTTCAATTTGTCGTTGTCAATTTCTTGGAATTGATAGATTCCTCTATTTTCAGCTTGAGTGAGATTTGGTGCTTCAACTTCTTGAATTCCAACTTGGGAAATAAATTCCTCTTGAGGAAATGAATGTGTAATATTTTCCAATAGTGTAGGAATTTTAAATTCGGTTTTATAGGCGCCTAGTCCGGGATACGGTTGTGATTCTCTTTTTGGTCCAGATGAGGATTTCTGATTGCCGGTGTCACGATTATTTGTCACGTAGATCATATTTTTGTTGTTTGAATTATCCAGTCCGAAGGATGAATTAAATAGTGGTGGATAGAGCGGCAGTGTTTCTTTATTTTCAGAGATTTCCAAACCAGAATTTTGCGTTCTCTGAAGATTATTGATATCCTCACGAGCTGACGAAAATTGACGATTGTCTTCTGATCCATAGAAAGAAACCTGTCCGAGATTTCCGTAATTCTCCCCAGGCGAACCATATTGTTGCGTTTGAGCCTGTAACGAAAAATTTTTCTAAAAAACTGATAAAAGATTTTTTTTCCGAAAATAAAAAATTATTTTTATTATCAAATTAAAATTTAGATATTTTCTTTACAAAATCTCACCCAGGCTGTGAATTGCTGAGCCTCGTCGACTTCTTTCGTCGGAGTAGCGGATAATTCAGAACCCTCACTCACAGTCGAATGTTTACGGAAGAAACTTGGATTGGCGTAAAAATTCTCCTTCACCGATGGAATGTGAATCGATGATGATGGAACAGACGACCATTCTGTGGCAACAACACCTGGAAAATGAGATTTATCAAAGAGACCCTCGTGGGAAAAATGAGGCGATACAATAGTTTGATAACTCGAACTTTCCCCAGGCAATTCATGAATAGTGTCAAAATTAATCAATGGCAAATGACTCTCGAATTTTATTTCCTTCTCCAAGGGATTTTTTATCATCAAATGAATAACAACATGATTGGCTTCATTTTCCGAATCCGCTGCTCTTATATAGACATTATCACCCATTCCTGGAACTTTAACAGGACCAATTAAAGGTCCCTGACCAATTTTCTCCTTATCCTTATTATTGTCGCCGAAAATTTTCTTCAACCAGCCCCAAAAACCTTTTTCCACTTTTTTCGCACGAAAGAAAGGTTCAATGAGAACGAGTTTAGTTTTTTCTTTATCTTGCAGTGAGGTGTCGAAAAAAATTGGACTCTCAATTGTGGGCCAATGAGGATCGGCAAAAATTGGCGATAAAATATTTTCCGTGTGTCGAACATTTCGTATTTTTTCCGTATCTTGAGTTTGTTGATTTGAAAATGTTTCCTCTCCTGAGGAATTCACCTTTGATGATGAAATTGATTCTTTGGTCGTCAAGTCCTCGAGTCTGAAATGAAAAATTTTTTATATTAAATATGTATATTTTTTATTAAAGAAAAATTTTTCTAAAAAATTAATCATTGTCGAATACAAACCTTTTTGGATCCTCGGTTTTTGCAAAAACAATGGAAAGTAGAAAGGCTTCAGTCTGGAAAAATTATTTTATATTCAATTATTGAAAAGGAAAAACTATTTTAATTGTAATAAAAATCACTCACGGCTATAAACCAAAAGATCCTCATTTTGTCTGAATTAAGCTGAAATTCCCTACAAAATCACAATCACTGAAAACTTAAAAACTCTCATGTTAAGATTTAAGTAACATTGTCCAAAAAAAATCTTTTCACAATTAAATCCTAAAAAAAACTCTCGACACAAATAGTTTTTTTTTAATTATCAAATTAAATATGTCCAGTAGGCACTTAAGTTTTTAAACACAAAAATCACAGAGCAGTTTTCTTGCAATAAAAAAAGATGCTGTTTTCGTGAAGTCTACATTTTGACTGAGAAGATTCCAATGGAAGTGCGACTATTTCAAGTTAATGAACACGAGTTTTGTCGACATTGCGTGGAAAATAACAATAGCGTGAAATTATTTCTTTTGGCCTTTCTATTTAATTCCTTTGGAATCTATATGATTACTGTTCAATCTTCTCTGATTCTTTTGTGTGTGAGATTATATTAAAACATGTTACGAGAAAGTATGTATATATTTCTCCCGTTCGTTCTCATCAAGAATAAATTATTATTATACGTTCTGCTCAAATGCTGATGAGTGATGCGATTTCATTACGGAATAAATAATGAATGTTAAATGAATCTAACATGAGAGTTAAAAATGAGATCTTCACTTTCAGAACACAGGCATGATCGAATATTTATTTCCTAATGTTACTTTTTTTCCCTATTTTTCATAATATGGATTTTTTTAATAAGAAAATCGTTAGGAAAAGAAATTATCCAATTAGGATTCTTTTCTTAGATTATTAATTGTAGATTCGAAATTAATTTTTTTTTAATTTTCTCTACTTTTTGGATTCTTAGTAAAAAGATTCATTTTAATTATTCATCCTTTGCAAAAAAATTTATTGTTTTAATTTAAATTTATACATGAGACGACTAAAGTAATTATCATAAATATCAAAAAAATGATTCATTGACAATTTAAAATTCTTTCTCAAATTTTTCATTTTTTAAAAAGAAATTAGTGAATTTGATTTAAGACAAATGGAAGATTTCTTGTTTTTCTTTTGTTGGTTTCAACTTCTTCTTGAGAGGGAATTTCTTTAGGAAAATAATTTTCCTTGACAATCCTTTCATTGGTTTTCGATCAATTTTCCTAAAAACAAACATAAATAACTGTATTAAGAATTAAATTAAAATGATGGGAAATTGAAAATAAAACGTAATGAAAAAATAATATTTAAAATAATAATTATTATAAAGATTTTTCTACTAAATAGATCGTTAACCCGAAGAAAGTAAATTTCCCTTTCCTGAAAGATTCTCCCGTTAATTGCCCGATTTGATGCATTCTGCAAACGTAACATAACTGCGTGTTTGTAAAAGATGGAAAGCCTCAATATAACATTTAAAATTGTTAACAGCAACATTTAGATTTATAAATATATATATATAATGTTCTCAAGGCCTTTCACATTACTTAGAATTTATGCATTCACTAAATATTATTTATTCATTATTTATTCGTTCTAAAAAAACAATTTAATAAATTATTTATTCATATTTCTCAACTTCGTGATAAAATTCTTCGTGATAAAATTTCATTGAATTAATATAATTATTAAAATATTTATTTTTCTATCTACGTCTAAAAAAAATATACCGATAATATTTCTGTTCTATTTCAGTAATTAAGAAACACAATTTTTCAAAATTTCAATTACATTCAACATTAATAAAAAAGAAAAAGAAAAACTAATAAATAACTATAATTATGTTATTAATAAATAGAAGAAATTTTCAATTAGTGAAAAATTTAATAAACGTTATCGCATGAAATTAAAATAAAAAAATTATAAATATCAACGAAGACAAGTATATATTTGATAAAGTTTCGAAATTGGTACATATGTATCTTCATTTGTAAATTTCTAATTGCAACGATAATTTCATGCATGAAATCATGTGTAGTCTCTGTAAAATTTTTAAATAGCTTAAACAAAATCACACATTTTTAGAATAAAATGTTTAAATAAAAGAAAAAGATTTGTTTGACTAACTGCATTTCACGCAAAGGAAAAAATTATCATTTACTAAAAAAAAAATCTCTAGATTTAATGAAATTTCATCATTCGTGGAAACTATTCCTCTTCAAAATTCATCTTCTTCCAACAAATTCATCAATATTTCATTAAATATTGAAAGCAAAAATAAATTTTGATTTATTTCGAACAATTAAGAGTAAATTCTTTCGTGTTTGTTTTAAGATATAAATTACACGCTGAATGTATATAAACAAAAATATACTTCCGCGTTTCAACACGCAATGCCGCGTCTTTATTTTATTCATTTTTATTTATTTATGAGCTTGAAAATTCAAATAAATGTAACGAGTGAGTAAATTCTGAATATTTCAAATATAAAGCAAGATTTACGAAAATTCAGATAACTTGGATGAATTTTGTTTTTTGAATAATAATTTTCAACTGACAGTGAAATTAATATTTTAATTTAAAACCTAATTGAAATATTTTGAAAATAATAATTTAAAAAATTTAGAAATTCAGAAGATTTAGAAAATTTAGAAAAAGCAAATAAATTAATGATTGTTTTTAAGAATGAAAATTATAATTTAATATTATTATTATTATTAATTTTACTATTAATTAATATTAATAATAAAATTATAATTTAATGACGAGAAAACAATCAGAATTTCTTAAATTAATTTTTAACCATTTTAAAAAAAGGGAATTGAAAATTTTTTAAGAAGTAATAAAATTACTATAGAAATTTAAAGAAACTATTAAATAAAAAGAAAGAGAAAAATGATTAAATGAAAAATCTTACAATTCTTAATCAAAATTGAATCTTCTTTTTCCATCGAAGCGAAAACCATAAGCCGCACTATTTGGAGCACCAACAAGTGCTGGATTTTTATAAGTGTGAAATGATCCATGAAGATGAGGTGGTCTCACGACATTTTGTTCATCACCTTTCAAATAAAATGCTTCGAATTTTCCTTCCGGCAATAAAATATCCTTCAGCGTCTCATCATTTGGATCGTAGGCGAATATTGTCGCAGTCATGCACAATAACAAAAATACCTAAAGGGAGAAATAAAATTTTTTATAAAATTAAAAAAATTATTTACAACTAAACATTAAAATTATAATTTTTAATTCTATTAATTATTTCGTTAATTAATATCGTTTCTAAGGGAATTAATTGTTTCTATATTAAAAATTGTTTTCGAATTAATTACTTACGAGAGACATTGTCGAAGCTTTTCTGTATTGTTCCAACTTTCCTTTCTTTTCGGTTCTGAAAAAGAGAAAGAAATAGAAAAAGTTATTTAATTACTTTAGAAAAATAACAATAACCGAGAAAAAATAGAAAAATGCGGTAAAAGTGTATCAGTGAATATCAGAATAAAAATAATATAAAAATTAATTAACATAATTAGTGTAATACAAAATAATTACTGTACCCAGTATCTAATAATTACTAGGTATATCAATTACACTATCTTATTAATTATCAGTTTTATTAAATTATTTTAACTATATTAAACTATAATATTATTTTAATTTACGACAAAAAAAAATCTAAAATAATTTATTTTTCTATATTATAAATTAATGAAACATTAATAATAGAAATTAATAAATAAACATTAATAAATTTGAGAAAAAAAGAATTTTTCCGTAAAAACTGTTATTTGAAAATAAAAATACTCTTTCTTTTTGCGTCTAAATAAAAACACATGAAAAGGAATGTATATAAAGTGACAAAAAAAAGACAACAAACAGAATAAAATATTCTAAACAAATTGTAAATAATTCATTGCGTGCATGTCGTGGATAATAATATTAAGAGTTGTGTGTGCGTGATGATCTTCATAAAGAAAAATGACAAAAAAATAAATGACAACAAAAAAGATATAAATAAAGAAGTGATATAGTCTCTCTTTAAAACTTACCAAAGAGCGAAGCGAAGTAAAAGTGAAAGCCCCGTTCGTGTGTCCAATCGCAATAAATTACTGAACCGTTTTGCCTTTACAAGCCTTGCCTAAGACTCGTTCAATAAACATATTCATATCTAGATAAAAATCATAAAATAAACACAACGCCTGACCAAAGTGTAATGACAAAAGTGAGGTTATGTTCTGTCGTCAAATATTGAAAATCATAATTTCGAATAAAATTAACAGTAATTTGTCAATTTTAGAAAGCGAAAAATATTTAATTCTGTATATTAAATAAGTAATAAATTATTAAATATTTTTACTGATTATTTTGTATCGTTTATTTTATAAGTTTTATAACTAGAAAATTTACTTTATTAATTCATTGTAAGAAAATAATAAATGGGGACAATATTGTAAAATTTTATTTTGAATAATTAAAAAATTAAAATACCATCAATATAATACGTTTGGAGAAATTGTACTTGTTTGGACTATATTTTTAAATATTTTATGAACTAAACGACTACAAAGTTTCCTCCACGAGGAAAAGGCAAAAAAATATTTTGACATTTTTTGAAAATTGTAGTAATTATTTTTAACAATCTAATATTTAAATGTAGTGACAATTTGTCAAAATTAAATAATTGGTTTTGCCTTTTGGCAACAATTATTATTAAATAAATAGTTATATTATTTATAAAGTTTATAAATATTACCATATTATTATGCAACGCCATAGGAAAGCATGCACTACGGCTGAATAACAACTGTCATCGTCCAAACATGTTTTTGTACAATGTTCTCATATTTCCTGGTTTTTTTCCCCAACGTGTGTATTTAACATTATTAAATACAATATCATTGTTGTAAACACTTTCATAACAATAAAACATTTTGAAAGGTATTTTCGAAATAAATCTGACTTGGCGCTGCCTTTCTTTAGAGCATAAAATACACAACTGAGAAGGCAGACTCGCAAAGAAAAGGCGCCATCTTAGTTCAAACTTTCCCCGCATGGTAATTTTCTTTTACTTTAAAATTAAGTTCAAATATTAATAATAAATAATAAATTAATTAATATTAATTAAAAAAATAATAATAAAATAATTCTTTCAAAATTGTAGTCATTATTTTTTAGTTATTTAAAAATATGTTGAATATGAATAAATATTTATATATTTATATTATTTTCTATTAAAGTTCGTTAATTTTAGACAGGAAAAATTACTCGAAATGCATTTTAAAAATTTTTTATCTAAATTAATCAGTTTAATTATTTTCTCTCTTTATTTAAATAATTTGTTGTTTGATTTAAATTTTTAATTTTGCAAAACTGATTATATTCTTAATTTGTTTGCGAATTTGTTTATTTTTTCAATTTTAATTCATTGTTTTTAATTTGTTTATTGAATATAATAACTTGTGAATAAATATGAATAAATCTCGTTTTATTGAATATCGTTAATATTTCAAAATTTCAAATAATGAAAGAAATATATTAACGCGACGCCTGGTGGTGAGAAATGAAACTAAGATGGCGTCCGAACGTTGCGAGTTGACCTTCTCATTTACGTAGTGTATGGTTTAGAGAGAGGTACCGCCAAGATCAGTTTAGTTCAAAAGTAACGGAATTTCCCTATTATTGAAAGATTTTTGTGTTTAAAAAGTGTTTTTAACAATGATAGCCCTTCCCGTAGTGTTAAATATCCCGTGAAAATATGAATTTTCATGAAATAAGTGTAAAGACACTTGTACATTAACAAGTTCCAACGGTGTTTCTCATTTTTCGCCGGAGTGTAGTTTCCAACCTCAATTCTCGTCTTTGTTGTCATTTAAGGTAACATTTTTTATTCTTTTGCACGTTCTTTACAGATTGAAAACAATATTTTACTAATTACGTGAGTAAATGTATTTTAATGACAAATATTTCTTGCATTGGACTCTTCCAAAATTTTTTTTGTCTACTTTGCCATTGTTGCACAAAGAAAAAGTATATTCTAAGGCAAAATTGTTAAACAAATATGTTAGGTCTGATGTTTATCTATTTTAAATATCGTTACTTTTTGTAAGAGTTCACATTTTCAAGGAAAAATTAGCTGTCATTTATATTTTATTTTTCAGCAATGTGATTTTCCGCTATAAATGTGTATACAATTATTGGTGTAAAATTATTACTTTTTATTGAGAAAATTTTTAATTCGCATCAATTTAATTTTTAAAATTAGCTATATGTTTTAAATTATATTTGAATATGTAATTAAAAATTGTCTTCTTTCAATCATCAATTGAAAAATTATTAATTAATAAAAAAATTAATTAATTAATAAAAAAATTAATTAATTAATTGTTATTAATTAATTAAAATTTTTATTAATTATGAATTGATTATTAATTTTTTTTTATTTTTTATTATTTTTTAATATTAATTTTGATTATTTTCTTTACTTTATTATTAATTAAAAATAAATAAATAAATAAATTTGTTTGCGAAATTGAATATTTTTTCAAATTTAATTAATTGTTTTTAATTTGTTGATTGAATATTATAACTTGTGAAATAAATCTCGTTTTATTGAAAATCGTTAATATTTAAAATTTTCAAATAATGAAAGAAATGTATTAATGCGACGCCTGGTGGTGAGAAATGAAACTAAGATGGCGTCCGAACGTTGCGAGTTTACCTTCTCATTTACGTAGTGTATGGTTTAGAGAGAGGTACCGCCAAGTTCAGTTGAGTTTAAAAGTAACGGAATTTCCCTATTATTGAAAGTTTTTTGTGTTTAAAAAGTGTTTTTAACAATGATAGCCCTTCCCGTAGTGTTAAATATCCCATGGAAATATGAATTTTCATGTAATAAATGTAAAGACACTTGTACATCAACAAATTCCAATGATGTGTCCCATTTTTCGCCGGAGTGTACAGTTTCCAACCTCAATTCTCGTCTTTGTTGTCATTTAGGTAACATTTTTTATTCTTTTGCACGTTATTTACAGATTGAAAACAATATTTTACTAAATACTTGAGTAAATATATTTTAATGACAAATATTTCTTGCATTGGACTCTTCCAAAATTTTTTTGGCGCGATTGTCCACTTCGCCATTGTTGCACAAAGGAAAAGTGTAATCGAAGGCAAAATTGTTAAACAAATCTGTTGTTTATCTATTTTTAATATCGTTACTTTTTGTAACAGTTCATATTTTCAATGGAAAATTAGCTGTCATGTATATTTTATTTTTCAGCAATCTGATTCTCCGCTATAAATGTATATATACAATATTGGCGTAAAATTATTAATTTATTAAGAGAAAATTTTTAATTCGCGTCAATTTAATTTTTAAAATTACCTATATGTTTTAAATTATATTTGAATATTTAATTACAAATTGTCTTTTTTCAATCATCAATTGGAAAATATTTTGATTATTTTCATCATATTATTTTTAATTAAAATTAATTAAATAATCAATTTAAATAATTTCTTGTTTGATTTAAATTTTATATTTTCTAAAACTGGTTTTATTCTTAAGTTTTTGGGAAATTGTTTATTTTTTCAATTTTAATTAATTGTTTTCAATTTCTTTATTGAATATAATAATTTGTGAAATAAATCTCGTTTCATTAAAAATCGTTAATATTTAAAATTTTCAAATAATGAAAAAATGTTACGTGCGGATTTACGTTATTTACGCGCAGGCGTAAAATCCGCGATTTGATTCGATGTTCAATCTTGGTTTAATCCTTTGAAAAGGAAGGCGGAAATATTCAAAATAAAACAAGTTAATTTCCGTTAAAACGGAGGGAAAAACCTCGAAAATAAGAAAGATCAATTAATAATTAATATTAATATCAATTAATTATTAATCCGACTCATTTCACGAGTAAACCCAATACATTTATTATATATTAAAGTCAAACATTACACAAGTCGAAGTTATTCTTAAGGCTATTTTTGGGACTACTCTGAAGTCCGTTACGAAAGAACTCCAAAATAGAACTGAATTCGTGAGGGAGCATTTATCCCTTGGTCCATGGCATAATCTTTGCGCATGCCCTGTTATAGAGTTTGTAAAGTCTATGAAGTTTTTAGAATCACCACACTAACACTGCACTGCACTAATACACGTATAAACATACTCTATGTATTGAAAACATGTATCACAACAAGTGAACATAATCCTTTTGCATTCACACTAATTACACAATTATTAATTATTTACATCATATCTAGTAACAATAAATCTCTTATACTGCACTCATCATATTTAAATATAAACAACAATTATAACGATAACCAATTTGATAATGTATCATAATATAATATTATTATTATATTAATACGTTACTAATATACACATATATACTATAATATTACAACAATAAATCAGATAAAGTTTACTAATAATATCATTTTCAAATAATACATTCATACTGCACAATTAGCAACAATATAATATTGTTGTTAATTATTCATAACGTTCATATTATACAATTGATAATTAAGGTTCGTCGCATAATGAAAGTCTATGTGTACGTGACTTTTCAAAGCCATTTCTGTGGTCACAAGTATGGTAAACACATGTTGCATTGTCCTATGGAAAAGGACACTTGAGATATTTTTTATATTCTTTCGAGGGTTTCTCGGTTTTATGACTCTAAAGAAACTAGAGATTACATTTTCTTTCGCTATTCTACTTGATTTATGGCAATTCTAAGAAATGTTGATTTTCAAATACATATTCAGAATTTGGAAACTATTAAACCGTGAAGTATTATATTTTACAATAGCCAAACTTTCTTGTTTAGTCTCGTCAATATTTGTCTAAAGTCGTGAGAAAATACTAAAAATAATTAAGTTTATTAACGAAATATTATAATTTCGCGCTTCGATAACTCGTGAATCGATATATCGAAAGTTAACGAGCGAGATGGTAGTCGCTCGTAACAAAAAATGTATTAACGCGACATCTGGTGGTGAGAAATGAAACTAAGATGGCGTCCGAACTTTGCGAGTTTACCTTCTCATTTACGTAGTGTATGGTTTAGAGAGATGTACCGCCAAGTTCAGTTGATTTTAAAAGTAACGGAATTTCCCTGATATTGAAAGATTTTTGTGTTTAAAAAGTGTTTTTAACAATGATAGCCCTTCCCGTAGTGTTAAATATCCCGTGAAAATATGAATTTTCATGAAATAAGTGTAAAGACACTTGTACATTAACAAGTTCCAACGGTGTTTCCCATTTTTCGCCGGAGTGTACAGTTTCCAACCTCAATTCTCGTATTTCTTGTCATTTAGGTAACATTTTTTATTTTTTTGCACGTTATTTACTGATTGAAAACAATATTTTACTAAATATACCTAAGTAAATGTATTCTAATGACAAATATTTCTTGCATTGGACTCTTCCAAAATTTTTTTGGTGCGAATGTAGACTTCGCCATTGTTGCACAAAGGAAAAGTGTAGAAGGCAAAATTGTTAAACAAATCTGTAACGTCTGATGTTTAACTATTTTAAATATCATTATTTTTTGCATCAGTTCATATTCTCAATGGAAAGTTAACTGTCATGTATATTTTATTTTTCAGCAATGTGATTTTCCGCTGTAAATGTAAATACAATATCGGCGTAAAATTATTACTTTATTGAGAGAAAATTTTTAATTGGCAACAATTGAGGGGCTGGATGCTATAATGTGTTACGCACCATGTTAAGTGAATGGCGCGTAACACATTATAGCATAGCCCCTCAATTTAATTTTTAAAATTAGCTATATGTTTGAAATTATATTTCAATATTTAATTAATAATTGTCTTCTTTCACTCATCAATTGGAAAATGTTTTGATTATTTTCTGTCACTTTATTTTTATTTTAAATTAATTAATTAATTTTTTACTTAAATATACTAAATAATATTTTTGAAAAAATGTAATTTTTCGTCAATTCTCTTAATAACATTAATATTTTAATTTTTTGTTTACATTATTTGAAGACTTTAGGGAAAAACTGTTAATTAAATTTTTATATTTTTTAAGTAAATTATTTTTAATTTCTTAGATTAATTATTTTTTGTTTTATTTTTTTCAGGAGAATTTTAAATTGTTCATCATCTTTCTTCTCTAAGTTGGAAAATTTTTTCAATCTCTATTCACAATGAGACGTAAGAAGCTACGTAAGTCCTGTGCAAAAATGTAAGTCTTTACCCCAAATTAATATTTTTAATTATTGTTGGATAGTTAGAGTGAATGTAACAACGAGAAAATTAATATATGCGAGTGTTTCGGATATTTAATTTGCAATAATTTTTCTGAATTTTGTTTTCAATATTTATAAATATTGAAAATAATAAAATTAAAATTTCTATAATTTGTAATTTTTTAAACAAACTTTTTTACGTTAATTAACAGAGTTATAACTTAAACATTTTGAGAAAATTGTTGATTTAATTTTCTTATTCACGGATGTCATAGGTCAGGGAAAAGTCAGTGATTTTTATTAAAAGTAGATATGAATGAACTTTTAATTTTAAGAAAACTAATTCAATTATATTAAATTTTCAAATAAATATTACAACAAGAAAGAGAAAATTAAAAAAAAAACCCTTTTATTTGTGGGGGAAACTTAAAATAATGAACTTATAATGAAACTCATCGCAGAATTTCAATTCATTTTTAATACAATTTTAATCAAATTTCTCGAGAAATGTAATTATTCTTAAAATTTTTTTTATAAAATTCGTCGGAAAAATTCGATTATTTAAAAATTTGTAGATAAAATTCTTTATGAAAATTTAAATATAAGAAACATTCAATATTATTGAATAAATTGTTTATTTTTCTATTTAAATAATTGAATTCTCGTAGAATTTTTTAATAAAAATTGAGTTAAAAATGAAATTTTAGTAAAAATTCTAAAAAATAATAATTGAATTAAAATGATGAAAATAATTTTCAATACGTTACAGTAACAATATTTTATTTTTTAATATAAAATAATTATTTTATCATTCGGTCATTTTTAATTGTTCAAATTCAATAATATTTTTCAATAATATTCTTGAAAGTTGTTGAATTTCAAAAAGGTTTGATTTAGTTTTTTAACATCTTAATTTATGAAAAGTAATAAAATTATTAAATATTTATTTTAAATAAAACTTTTTTAAATAAAAAAAATATTTATTTTATAATTTTACAATTAAAGAAATTCGTAAATAAATGTAATAGAACATTTTTTTGAGTATCTAATCATTTTTAGAGTGAATCAAGAAGACTAGAGACGTGAATCAAAGTATTTTTTAGGATCAGGGAAAAAGTGAATAATAGTCTGTAAATCAGGGAAAAATCAGGAAAAAAACAAAGTTTATTTTTTTTGGCAACCCTGTTCTTCCTTGAGGTGACAACAACTCACCTGATAAATGGCTGACGTTTTACAAAGTGGCGCTAATATATTATTTTCAAAGAGAATTTAACTTTTTCAAAGAAAAAAAAACATAATTTATAATTATGATTCAATAATTTTCCCTCTTTTTATATTATAAACATACAAATTGTTTTTTAAATTATTAAACACCGTCCATTTAAATCGAACTTCGATTCGATTACCTTAACCACACAATTCGCATTTCACCACACCATATCAAATCGTTGATCTCGCCTGATATTTTACACCTCTTTCGTGTAATCAAAATAATATTCCATTAAATTAATAATTCATTACGATTATTACGATTTAAGTATCACAGTTAAATCGTGAACGAGAAGAAATATTCGTGTTTCATTCGTAAAATAAAGTATTTCCCATTTTTATAATGAACTTTCAATGAAAAAAGTACACCGGTGTTAAAAATGTTTCGGTGAGGCAGCTGATTCAAAGATGGCCGGTGATATTCTGATACAAACAAAATAGTAGTGCTCTAAAATTTGCTCATCTCCAAGAATAAGAAACTATATGGTAAGTAAAATTCTCCAATTTCTATTTATTAGTTGAAAATATTCATCATGTAAGTACATTAATTATTATTTTCTGCAAAATATTAGATATATTTTTCCAAAAGTAAATTCCTTTCGTTCTTGACCTGCTCAATAAAATCGAATTTATGAAACGCGAGAAAGCCTATATGATTCTTCTTTTTCTTTATATAATAAAAAAACGACAAAAATTATTGTCAATTAATACATTAAAAATCTTTTATAAAAATTTTTTAATTTTTGGAAAAATTGTCTAAAATTACTTTTATAGTGAAGTAGAATATTTAATTAAATTTAAAGATTGGATTCTTTTTTTTTTTATTTTGGTTATTAAAATTCTTGAAAAATTCTTTTAGATGTAAAAAAGGGAGAATTTATCTTGATAAAATAATGGCTTACGAGCAACATAATATGACGGGATACGTTTATCCTGAACATCAATCGCAACCAAATCTTCAAACCGATGAGAATAGAAACGAAAACGATTGTGGAAATAAGGAAATATGTCCAACGATAACACGTCAATCGTCTGGAACACAAACTGTTCAAAAAGTCGATGCATCGACAATGACAGATCCATTGCAAATAGATTTTAAATTAACCTCGGAATATTTGGCAGCTCGTTGTGCGGCAAATAACAGTTTGATTCATAATTGTCAGGAAATTCGACCTAAAATTGAATACGACGTTAAATCATCATCACATGGTAATAAAAAGAATAATTTCAATATTTTTTCTATTTATATATAAAAGTATTATTGAAGAATTACAATTCTTTTGAAATTAGTTAAATTTTCTAACAAATATTTAATTAATTATTAAAAATAATGGACTTAAAGAACAATTTTAGTTAAAAACATTTTAAAAAATTAAATTTTGGAGAAGTTATACAAATGATTGCAGAAATTCAATTATTTTTAAAAGTAATAATAAATTCTTTGTAGAAATTCAATTATTTATTTATTTACTTATTTAATATAAAGAAGAGCCCTTTCGTACATTTTCAAAAATTTTAATAAAATTCTTGTCAAATTTCAATTAATTTCAAAAAATTTCTTCAATTCAATGATTTTCAATACCTACACTATCTTAATAAAATTCTACGCAAACATTAAAATTTTTTCATAAAGAAATTCTTTTTAGGAATTCAATTATGTTTATAAATAATGAAACTAATCGCAGAATTACAATTATTTTTTATACAATTTTAATTGAATTCTTCAAAAAATATTCTTTAAAATTTTATTAAAATTCGTCACAAAAAAAATTTCATTATTTAAAAATTTGTTGATAAAATTCTGTATGAGAATTCAATTTTAAGAAACATTTAATTCTTTAATAAAATATATATTTTTATATTTAAATAATTGAATTATCGTAAAAATTTCGATTATCAAGTTATAAAATTTATTCTTCTCCGAAATTCAATTAGTTTCAAAAATTTTAATAAAATTCTTGTCAAATTTCAAAATTTCTTCGCAGAAATTCCATTATGTTCAAAATTTTATGAAAATTCTAGTAAAAATTTCGATTATCAAGTTATAAAATTTATTCTTCTCCGAAATTAAATTATTTTCAAATATTTTAATAAAATTTTTGGTAAATTTCTAAATTTCTTTGCAGAAATTCAAAAAAATTTATGTTCAGAATTTTATAAAAATTCTCGTAAAAATTTCAAATATCTTTATAAATAATAAAATTCTTCTCCAAAATTAAATCAGTTTCAAAAAATTTAATAAAATTCTTGAAAAGATTTCAATTATTTTCAAAACATTTCCTCAATTCAATGATTTTCAATATCTACTATTTTAATAAAATTTTCCAAAAGAATTCAATTATTAAAAAAAAATTTAATAAAATTCTACGCAAATCTTTAATTATTTTCGTAGAATAATTAAATTTTCACAAGAATTCAATTATTTGTAAATTTTTTATAATTATTCACAATAATTCCATTATTTTCATTAATCATAAAATCTTTAAAAGATGAGATTCAATTATTTTTATTAATAATAACATTCTTTTTAGGAATTCAATTATTAAAAAAAATAAAAAAAATAAAACTTCGCAGAAATGTAAATTATTTCTTTAAAAAAATTATTAAAATTCGGCGTAAGAATTCAATTTAAAAATTTGTTGATAAAATTGTTTAGGAGAATTAAATTATTTCCAATATTCAATTGGAATTGAATTCCTCGAAAGAATTTAATTATATTCATAAATTACAAAATTCTTTTCAGAAATTCAATTATTTTCAATTTAATTTTAATATATTTTCTAGAAAGAATTAATTTATTTTTAAACATTTTACTAAAATTCTTTGAAACAAATATATTATTTTTGCAAATATTAATAAAATTCTTCGAGAGACTTTAATTATATTATTTTCATAAATTACAAAATTCTTTGCAGAAAATCAATTATTTTCAATTTAATTTTAATATAATTTCTAGACAGAATTAATTTATTTTTAAAAGTTTCACTAAAATTCTTTGAAAAAATTCAATTATTTTCGCAAATATTAATAAAATTCCTTGAAAGAATTCAATTATTTTTATAAATAAGAAAATTTCTTGGCAGAAATTTCATTATTTTCAATTATGCAATTTTAATATACTTTCTTGGAAGAATTGAATTATTTCTAGAATTTTTAATAAAATTTTTCTAAAGTATTTAATTATTTTTAAAAATTGTAATAAAATTTTTTATAATAATTCAATTATTTTTAATATATAGTTTTAATTGTGAATTGAATTATTACTTATGTTACTTCAAAAATGTTTTTAAAAAAAACTATTTCTTGCTTTTGAATGAGCAAATACTAATAAATAGTAATTTCTACTAATTTATTAGTAAAAATTTGCTTCTGAATTAGTAAATTTTACTAATAAATTAGTGAAAATTACTATTTATTAGTAAAATTTACAAATTCGTGAAAAGAATTCAATTATTTAAATATTATTCTTATTTTTGTATTTAAATAATTAAATTCTCGTAGAATTTTCTAATAAAAATTAATTTCAGTTAAAATTTTAGAGTAATTGAATTTTGAGAAAGTTTCAAATTAAAATCTTTGGAAATCTGAATTTTTCAGATTTTTAACTAACAATTTTGTAGAATTAATTTTTTTGAAAAAGTTTAATTGAATTTCTTTTTAAATTATTTCAAGTTTTTTATTTTCTAATATATATTTAATTGAAGAATTTCCGAATAATCAAAATTTCGTGAAATTGAATTGTTAACAAATAGATTTGAAAATTCTCAAAGAAATTTTTGAAAAATTATTAAAAATAATTGATTTAAGGAAAAATTTTAGATAAAAATTCTGTTAATTCAAAAGGTTTGAATTTGAAATTTTTGAAAATCTTGTTTCCTACGAAAAAATAATAATTTTTAGAATAAATCAAAATATTTTTTAGGGTCAGGGAAAAAGTCTAAATTTCGTCTGGAAATTAGGGAAAAAGAAAATTAAATTTTTATGGCAATCCAGTAATTATTTTTTTTTTTTAAGGAAAGTAATTATTTTTTCTAATAAAAGTAATTATTTCCTTTAAATAAAAGTATTTATTTTTTCTAGGTATGTTAATTTATCACTGTCCAGAGTGCGCCTACAGATTTGAGGATCGTGAAACACTTCACGAGCATTTGGAGGATCACAGACAACGTTCTCACATTTGTGATATTTGTGGTGCAAGTTTAAAGCGCAAGGAGCATCTCGATCGTCACAAACAAGGTCACAATAAAGATCGGCCATACCAATGCAGTATGTGCTGCAAATCATTTAAGCGCAATGAACATTTGGCACGTCACGTCATCATTCATTCTGGTAGTAAAAATCAAATATGCACCGAATGTGGAAAGGCATTTTTTCGCAAAGATCATTTAAAGAAACATCTACAAAGCCACAATAACAGCAATAAAAATAAAAATGTGAGTAACAATCAGAATCCACCAAGTGGACAAAATGGCCTCAACAACTTTGCTCTCATGATGAGACAGGCTGGACCTTCTCCTTTTTCTATTCTACGAACATAAAAAAAAACAAGAAAAAATTCTCGAAACATTTTTCACTACTCAAAGACAAGAAAAAAGTAGATAATTCGATTTCTTTTTATTTTTTATCCAAAAAGAAAGGATATTTCTTTAAAAAAAAAAGAAGCGTCAAGTTTGTTAATTTAAAAATTGTTAATTTTTTTATTTTATAACTAGAGTAGATACACGATTTATATTTGAAATAATTATAAATACTTTTTGTTTTTGTTTTCTATAAACTTGTTAGATAATAAGTAATTGAAGCTTGAATCAAGTTATCAGCAAAACTATTTAAAAGTAATTAAAAAAAAGCAATGAACGTTTAAATAATAATCAAACGATTACTAAACAAAAGGCTTTAAATGAAAAATGTAATCAGATAAATATTCAGACGTTTACTATTGATTTTATTCTTTTTTTCAAAAAAAAAAAAAAAAAAAAGTGGATAGTTTTGCTTCTACTCAAAAATGAGATCTAATTTCATATTTGCCAGTAGATAAAAGAAAAGTGAAAGTAATTTAGGCGTATTTATTACATCTTTATATAGACTTATAAAATTTACGTATTAATAATTGTTGTGTTGCGAAGTCGATGTAAATCGACGTTTTTTTTATAAAATTTAGAAATAAATAAAATATTAACTTGAATATTCAATTTTTTTATCTTTAACCGGACACCCATTTTTTTGACATTATAGAATTATTCCAAATATTATTTCGATGGTAATTTTTCGTCGAAGGAATTCTACGATCATAAAATAGAGACAAAAAAATTGTTTAGTTTTGAATTTTTATTTTTCCAGGGAAATCGAGAAATTCGGTGAAAAGTCAGAGAAAGTAAAATTTGTCAGAAAAATCAGGGAAAAGTTGAGGATTTTTATCAAAAGTACTGAAAAAAGTATTAAATTTCTACACCCAGAGAAAAATATGATTTGAAGCAAATATAATTTATTTCAATTAAATAAAAGTATAGGTATTTGTTTTAGAGTCTATTAAATTATTTATTTGTTTTAAAAAAGAATTTTATTCATCTCAAAATCTCAAATAAAATTTATTAGCAACAATTAAAAAGTTTAGTAGGCTCTGAGTCAAATATATTATTTTTTAGTGTAGAATTGAAAAAATATCTCATTTTTGGTGTCCAGTAAAGAAAATAATAAAAAATTAAGGAGAGAGTGCATAAATATTTTTAACTGTTTCAAGAAAATATTTTATAACATTGTTTTCATAGTAATTTTCTGTGAGGAATTCAATGAACATAAAATAAAATTTATAAAATGGATCAGAAAATATTTTGACCCATTTAAAATTTTTATTCTTCCTACAAATTATTAGATCTTTGAATTCTATTATAGAAAATGTGTTTCTGTAAACACAAAAAAATTGCTGAATGAAAAAATTTATTTTTACTATTTTTGAATTTTTTTTTTTGGAAGAAACTTTGTTTTTAGGATAAAAATGTAAAAAATAGCATTATTATTCAATTTTATATTTAAAAATTCATTTGTTTATTTTTCCAACTAATTTCAAAGTCTACTAATTTTTCGGGTCAAAATATTTTATAACCATTATAAAACAAATTTATTTATTTATTCAAGTCAATTTTATGGAATATTTAAATTATTTTCTTGGTATAGTTAAAAATATAGGTCTACCCGCCTCTTAAATAAATTATTATTAATTTTCTATTAATTGTAAAAAATTTTATTATTAATTCAAAAAAAAAAAAAATTCAAATTGATTAAAAACATTTAATTCTTCTTGAATTTTTTTTTCACCACATACATTTTAAAATGACACAAATTTGAATACAAAACTTTACTTTTTCCATTTCTGACAATATTACATCAGAATATAAAATTAAATTTATTTTAAATAATTCAATTCTTAAAAAACCTTCATAAAATTATTATTTCAAACATGTTTTATTATCAAAACTTTAAAAAATTCAAAAAGAAAAATTGAATATTGGAAAGAGTTTCGTACGCAATTTTTAGAAATCCTATTAAATTTTAGGCTGGAAATTAAAAATTTTTTAAAATCCTAATTCCTAAAAAAATAAGAATTAAATATTTATTTAAAAAAAAATTTCGAGTTTTTGAATAAATTTCCAATTATTGAATTCACAAATAAATGAAGTTTTCTCTTCAATTTTAGAATGAATTAGAATATTTTTCAGAGTCAGGGAAAAAGTCTAAAGTCTGGTAATCAGAAAAAAACAAAATTAAATTTTTTGTGGTAAAAATTGGAATATTTTGAAATCTATCGTTAGTTGTAAAAAAAAAAATGTTTTTGAACCAAAATGAAAATTGTTTGCTCAAATATTTATATCCATAAAAAATAATTTAATATAATTATTGAAAAAGTATAATTATTGAATATAATTATTGAAAAAAATAATTCAATAATTATATTAAATTATTTTTTATCTATAAAAATCTGTTGAAAATAAAATAATTGTATAAAAATTTTAATTCTTAAAAAAATCTTAATCTGATTTACTCGTGATAACAAATATTTTTTTGTCATTCCAACTAAAAATAATTCTTCATTTTGAGTTTTCTTACGATTTTTATTATATATATAGATATATTATTATAGGATATTACATAAAGCAGCAGTAAAATTACACATTCTCGCACTCTTTTTTTTCAAATTATTATTATTATTCTTATTATTTATTTATTATTTTCCTTATTTTCTTTTTTTCGCTCTCTTTTCAGCATTTTTCCATGTTTTTTTTTCGTTTCAAAAAATTTTTGCACTCTATACAAAAATAAAACGATGAGATCAGTAGCTGTACACAACGTGTTTTGTCTTTATTCGCTTCATTTTTTTTTTTTTTTTATTTTTCTTTCATTAAACCATTTCTCTTTGACTTTTTTTTTGTTTTGATTTACAAACGACGACGTAATCCGCTTTCGGTTTTAACTTTTTGGTTATTGGAAAAAATAAATTGAATGTCCTTAAAAAGAAAAGGTGGAAATGTCGCTCTAATTTATTACCTCGTAAATTTGGTGACTTAAAAATTTTTAAGAAAAAAAAATTTTTTTTAGAAAAAAAATGACGACGTGGAAAACTTAACGAATGATGAATATTTTCTTTTTTTCTGACAAACAGGCAAAATAGATTTGAATGTAAATATTTTTGTCCGGGCAGAAAATTAATGTAATTATTGTGATTATGGCGATAGAAAATTACAGCGAGGGAAAAGTCACTCTAATAAATTCTATACAAGTTTTTTTTTCTATGTCCTATGGTTTTTCTTTTCATTTCATTTAAATACTAATAGTCTATGAAAGAAGAGTTATCTGTTTTGTACTCTATGTATCCTCCATTTTTCTCTCATACGTCGTAATTTCAATCACCCTTACACTGATCTTTTTTCATTATTTAAGTTTTGTCTCCTTTTTCTCTACAATTTACATATACAAATGTATACCACAACGAGTTAACTATAGTAGGTTTTTATTTAAAAAGTAAAAAACATTTTTTGACAAACTCTCTCTCTCTTTCTCTCATTTTTTCTGTAAAAAAAAAACAAAAGCTTTTAATCCTCTCGTTTTCTTTGCGTGTTCCATGAAAAATAAAAAAAAAAAAAAGAATTCAAATTTACTCGAAGATGTGTAGAAAAATATTGCTCTTTTTCATTTTTTTTTTACCTTTGTTGACTTTTAGTTTTCGATTCATTTGATTTTCACTATGTTGGTGGAAGAATGTAAAATATGGGAAAAATTGGAAGTCGCAGATTTTTTTTTACAGTTGGCTATTTGAAAAATTATAAATCAGTCGCATTTTATTATTATCCGGCATTTTGAAAACATTTTTCTTTTCATCTTACGAGAGTTTTAAAGGCCCTACATTTAAAAAATACTATTGGTGTTATTCTTAATATACTTTACTGTAGATTTCTCGACAATTAAAAATTCCTAAAAGTGTAAACTTTGCAAATTAGGTATTTTTTACTTTTCTTTTTGATCGAGTTTATTTTTAATTACTTTACACTCGATTTGATTTTACGAATCACATTTTCTTTCGACTAATACAACTTAAGAGACAAGAATTGATTTTCGAATATTACTTTTTTTTTTTGTTTCTTGTTTCAATTCTTGAGTGAGAATCGGAGTTGAGGGGAAAAAGCGCGAAACTTTGTTTTTCCTCTCGCGCAGTATGTTTTATTATCCATTTAGAATTTTGCAATGTCTTAAAGCATTACCTATAATTTTTTTTTATTTATTCATAATGTAGTTGCTTTTCTGTAACACTAAATCCTTTTTTTTGTATTACTAAAAATATTTTATCTTATTTTTTTTATCCATCTCCTGTCTTTAAGCGGAAAAACTCCCTCCTTTCAAATTTCTTTTATAAAATTCCGGCATTTTACAGAATTGTAATCAATTTGTCCTGTGATTTTTATTGTTTCACTTTTTTAAATTCAAAGAAAAAAATTTTTTTTTACTAAAAATTAACATCACGAACATTTTTTATTATAATTCGATAAAACAATCGTTTTCGATATTTTAAGCCACTTTAAGAAATCTTCGTCATGTTTCGATAAAACGTAGATAATAATTCTTTTTTTTTTAATCTAAAAATTAATTTTTGTCTTTAATTACAGAAATTAATTTTTGATTATAAATCTATTTTTTATTGAAGCAATAATTTTCGGATCAGGAGAAAGTTTGACCTTCATTTATATAAATCGTAAAGCTATTTGTCAATTAGTTTTTTTTGCACAATTCACCTTATTCACAAAATACTGTCCCCCTTAAATTTCCCGAACGTAAATATGATTAACACTTTCGAGAAAATTTTTTTTACGGGGCTTTTCTCTCACTCTCTCGTTAACTTAAGTTTCTTATATTTTAATTTTGTATACAAACTTATTAACTAAACGTACAACTAGGTACTCTTTTTTTTACGATTACAAATACATGGTGGATATTTTAATACAGCTCATTTTCTTATAACTTTATGTATAATTATATGCAGCATTTAATATTCTTAAACTTGAGGTCTGTTGTCCTTTTTTTGCTTGCTAAAAATCGTCTTTGCGTTTAGGAGCTTGATGCTTAAAAAAATACAAAAGAAATAAACTAAAATATAAAATTAATTAACAATTTTTATTCCTTTCATTGAATAAAAATCTTCAAAGAGAAAAAAAATAACTATTAAAATCTAAAAATTGTCAAAAATTTCGAATACTGGGGAAAATAGAATTTTTAAATATATCTAAACTATTGACTTAAAAATCTGTTACATTTGAAAAACAAATTAAAAATTGTTTATAAAAAAATAATGAAAATAAAGTCTATGAATTAAGTAGATAACAAAAGTTTTCTTCATGGTTTTATGTTCTAAATCTAAGGATAAACGTACAAAAATATAAAAATATATTTGAGGAAGATATTGTTTTCTCGCGTCAGTCTCCCAAGCACAGTTAACTGTTTTTATACAATAATAATAATGCGAAATTAAAATAATACAACTTTCGCTTTTTTTGTCAATATTACAATATAATTATGGCAAGGGATTTGCAATTATTGATGATTTACGCGAGTATTTAATGGCACAGCAACTAAAAAGTTTACTATATTAAAATTAAAAAAATATATATATAAAAAAAGACCATCAGGTTAAAAAAATGAGTATCTCTGACTGTATACTTAAATTAAACAAATCACATTAACAAAAACTTTTTTTTTTTTTTTTGCTTCTTAAAAACAAAAATGAAAATTAATATTCACTAATATCTCTCATCTGTGGAATTTTTAAATATTCCTTATGCGAAACTCTCAATAACTCAAATATTCTCGTTTTTTAAATGCTAGAAAAACATTTACACCGTCAGTCGAATAAGTGTCACCATACACAATTAGGCACTGCAATGTGGCTTTTTAGCGTTTTTAAACGACACCTAAAAACTTAAAAATACAAAATTGTGTTACACTTATTAAAAAATTTCGTATTTCGACTGTATCCAGCATAGGAGAGATCTTTAAAAGATTACTCATATTTAAAAATATTCCTTTTAAAAAATTTCTACATTCTTAAAAGCGTAATCAGTGCTCAACGAAAAAATTAGATATCTATATAATTAAAAAATATAATTATGCATATTAAAAAAAATAGACGTATAAAAAGAGTTTTTTTTTCAAAGAAAAAAAAAGAATGTGTGAAATATTTTTTTGAACTCTTGGAGAGTTCATGAAATGTATTTGTGTTAAACATAAATAATAATCAGGAGAGGAAAATTTTGGAACTAGTCGTAAAATATAAAATACTGTTGTCAACTTTGTATAATATAAAAAACGAGTAGAAAATGTTTTGACATTTAAAAAAAACATTTTCTTGTCTTTTTTTTTCTTCGCTTTTTCATTAATAGAGTATTGCCACTTCTATCTTATGGTACTGTGCTAAGGCCCTGTCAAGTGCGATTTGAGAGCACCTATTTTAAAAAGAGAATAAAATTTTTAATCCAATTGACAAAAAAGTATGTTATATAAAGAAGCCTTAGTATTTTCTTCTTTTAATTTTGATTAACCATTGATCTTAGTTTTGGTTTTCTTTTTTAATTTCTACGTACTCATTGAGCTCTACCATAAAAATAGGTTTTTTTTTGCCTCTCGCACGCATGTAAAAAGCAAGTTCGTGACTCATTTCGAGTCTCTCTCTATAATAAGGAAAAATTTGATTTCTTCCCACGTATACAGTATTGTTTTTGTCCTCGAGTTTTCGTATTTCTTTAAGAAAGTGTTTCTTTTCGAAATTTGTTTTTTATTGGAAACAAAAATACTCATGAATAGTGGAAAGGTTTGTCACGTTTTGTCATTGAATGTCTCGTTACCTCTTCGATGAGGTATTCCCGTGCTCTCAGAAATCTTTGACGTGCCCAAGGAAGCTAAGTTCATGCGCCTGATAGTGACTCGGGGTGGCGAGTGGTGTCACGCTAGATTGATGAGCGACATTGACTGTCGTTAGATGATGATGATGCAGCGTGTGATGAGGTGTGTGTTGATGAATAATGTTGTTGGGATGGGGAACTTGAAAGTTCCCTGGTGGCGGGGCTCAGGACAGGAGAGGTCCTGGATGTCCACCAGGGAGAACGGAGGATGTTGTCACTGCCGTTGTTTGCATACTCGTCACATTGTTTTGTTGTTGATTTTGTTGACTACCTGCTGAAGAGAAAAAAAAGAGGATTGTAGATTTTTATATGTCGATTTTGATTCGAGAAAGTTTGCCAAATATTTTCTTTGAAACTAAAAAGTCAATTTAGTTAGTTGAAAAAATAGAGACAGCAGGGTTGCCACAAAAATTTAATTTTCTTTTTCCCTGATTTTCAGACAAAATTTTGACTTCTTCCCTGACACTAAAGAATATTCTGATTCACTCTAATAAATTATTAGATATACTCAAAAAAAATGTTCTATTACATTTATTTATGAAATTCTCTAATTGTAAAATTATTCAAAAACAATAACTTTTTTTTTAAATAAATATTTAATCATTATTATTTTTCCACAGGAATTAAGATTATCAAAAATTTTAAAATCAAACCTTTTTGAAGTTCAATAAAACTTTAAGAATATTATTGTAAAACATGAAGAAATCAATCACTCCGAGTCTTCGACTCGGAGCAATCGATATCTTCATGTTTTACAATAATTAAAAATTACCGAGTGATAAAATTATTTTTCTATATTATAAGAATATTTTTACTGTAACTTCTTCAGAATTATTTTCATCATTTCAATTCAATTATTATTTTCTAGAATTTTGAACTAAAATTTTTCTTTCAATCAATTATTTTTAATAATTTTTCAAAAAGTTCTTTGAGAATTTTCAAATCCATTTGATAACAATTCAATTTCACGAAATTCCGATTATTCGGAAATTCTTCAATTAATTATATATTAGAAAATAAAAACATGAAATAATTTTTTTAAAAATTCAGAACTTTTTCAAAAAAATTAATTCTGCAGAATTGTTAGTTAAAAGTATGAAAAATTCAGATTTTCAAAGATTTTAATTTGAATCCTTTTCAAAATTGAACTATTTCTAAAAATCCGTGCTATTAATGCTTGTAATATTCAATTATCTTAAATTTTAAATGAAATTCATTTTTAAATCAATTTTTATTAGAAAATTCTACAAGCATTCAAATTATTTATTTATTTTTTTATTTTACAATAAATTAAATACAAAAATAAATAATTTATTGAATTTTATTATTTATGAAAATAATTGATTTCTTGTTAACGATTTTATTCGAATTTTTTAAAATAATTGAATTTCCAAGAAAAAATGTATTACTTTTAAAAATAATTTAATTCCTGTCAAAAATTTTAATATTTTTGTAAATAATTGAATCCTTGTGATGAATATTGTTATTTATGAAAATAATTGAATTCTTGTGATGAATATTGTTATTTATGAAAATAATTGAATTTTGCATAGAATTTTATTAAAATGCTTCAAAATAATTGAATTTTCGTGGAATAATTTTGTTATTTATCGACATAATTGAATTCTTTCGAAGAATTATTTATGTAAATAATTGAATTCTTGGGAAGAATTTGATTATAATCTAAAAGAATAATTGAATTTCTAAAAAGAATTTTACTATTTACGAAAATAATTGAAAATCTGTTAAAAATTGTATAGTTTATGAAAATAATTAAATGTTTTCATAGAATTTTATAACATTTTTTTTTTAAATAATTGAATTCTTTTGTAAAATTTTATTAAAATAGTAGATATTGAAAATCATTGAATTGAGGAAAATTTTTGAAAATAATTGAAATTTTTCCAAGAAATTTATTAAAATTTTGAAAATAATTGAATTTTGAAGAAGAATTTTATTATTTATAAAAATAATTAAAATTTTGACGAGAATTTTTTTAAACTTTTGAACATAATAATTTTTAACTAAAATTTTTTTTTCAATCAATTATTTTTAATAATTTTTGAAAAAGTTTTTTAATAATTTTCAAATTTATTTGTTGACAATACAATTTTACACAAAATTTCATTTATTTGGAAATTCTTAAATTAAATATATATTAGAAAATGAAAAACCTTTTCAAAAATCAATTATTAAAATTGAATTCTCATAAAGAATTTTATCAACAAAATTTTTAAATAATTGAATTCTTTTGACGAATTTTAACAAAATTTTTAAGAATAATTACATTTTTCGAAGAATTTAATTAAAATTGTATGAAAAATAATTGAAATCCAGCTATGAATTTTATTATTTTTTAAAATAATTGAATTCATATAAAAAGAATTTTATTATTTATGAAAATAATTAAATCCCTGTGAAAAATTTAATTATTTTTAAAAAAATGTAATTATCGCGAAGAAATTTATAAAAAAATTTGTAAATAGTATTGAATTCCTGTGAAATTTTTATAGTCTCAGAAAATAATTAAATGTTTGCGTAAAATTTTATCAAAATTTTTTTTAAATAATTGAATTCTTTTGGAAAATTTTATTAAAATAGTAGATTTTGAAAATAATTGAATTAAGGAAGATTTTTAAAATTGATTAAAATTTTGAGAAGAATTTTATTATTTATAAAGATAATTGAAATCTAGACGAGAATTTTTATAAAATTTTGAACATAATTGAATTTCTGCGAAGAAATTTTGAAGTTTGCCAAGAATTTTATTAAAATTTTTGAAAATAATTGAATTTCGGAGAAGAATAATTCTATAACTTTTGAAGATAATTGGAATTTTTAAGATAATGCAATTTGAAATTCTACGATGAATTTTATTATTTACGAACATAATTGAGTTTCTAAAAAGAATCTTATTATTTATGAAAATAATTAAATTTCTGTAACTTCCCCAAAATTCAATTTTTTTTAAGCGCTTTTAACTAAAATTCTTCTATAAATCCATTATTTTTAATAATTAATTAAATATTTGTTAAAAAATTCAACTAATTTCAGAAGAATTGGAATTATTGAAATTTTTCAAAAATTTAAGTTCTTTAAAGCTTCTAATTAAATTCATTCAAAATTGAAATTTTATAAAATTCTAAATTAATATTTTTTCAATTAAATTAATTTTAAATTAATTAAATTAAAATTTATGTTTATCTATTTATGATAAATAAATCTTTTAAAATTCAATTTATTTTGAATTATTTAAGTAAAATTATTCGTTGAAGAATTTAACTAAGTAATAATTTTTAGTTTATGAGGCCAACAAAAAAAGATACCAAAATTCATAATTTTCTAAGAATTCTAAAAATCTTTTCCAGTACTTTTAATAAAAATCTCTGACTTTTCCCTGATCTGTAGCAACCCTGGAAGATCTGATCTACACGGAAAATATTTAGAGACTTCAGAGGAGTAAAATCGCATTCAGCGTTTGTACTATTGTCTTTGTACAACTAAGATCCTAACTATGGAGCTCTGATGTCCACTGTACTTCAGTAGACAACAAACCTTCACATTTGGGATAAAACTTGTCCAAAGATAGTAAAATAATCGCTGAAGTAGACATGACTGCTTCTGTAGTCTGCAAATTTCCGTGTAGTCCCCAACAGAACATTCAACTTTTTTTCCCTAAATTTTTAAAAATATATTAAATGTTTAGAGCAGACAAGAATTTATATTTGAAAAACCTGCTATTGGTTCTAATTTTGAAAAAAAATCTAGTTATTGATACTGAAGACATTACCAGCATTTTGACTCAGCTCGGCTTTGACTCGTCTCGCAATATGACTCCTGGTGTGTTTTCGCAAATGGTCCTTTCGATAGAATCCTTTCCCGCACTCTGTACAGACATGTCTCTTCTCGCCGGAATGAATGACAAAGTGCAATGTCAATTGTTCCTTTCTCTTGAAAGCCTTGAGGCATACGGTGCAAACATAAGGTCTTTCCGGATTATGACTTTGCTTATGACGTGTCAAATGGTCCTTTCGTTTCAATCCAGCCCCACAAATATCACAAACGAATCTTCGTTCAAGTGTATGACCAAGAAGATGCTGTTCCAAAAGATCACGTTCCGGATAAGCCATATGACATTCTGGACAACAGTACAATGTTGAACCGTCTAAAGCAGTTGTGAGACGTATTTCACCGGGTTTTGGACGTGGTTTCTTTTCTTTTGGTGCCTTCTTCTTCTTTTTCTTTTTACTATTTGGCGACATCATTATATTTGGCGTCGTCGTTGTTGCCACTGCAACGGATGTTGTTTGCGCCATTTCCGATTCCTTTTTAATGCTCTCGGCGGAATATTTGAGAAAATGATGTAAACTCAGAGGTAGAGTACTGGCAGGTAAATGACTCAGGTAATCGGCAACAGTTGAACCGGGTGTTGCCAATGATTGCCATGTTGCTGGCATTGTTGCCGGTGTTTGTGTATGAGCATGCTGTTGATGATGCTGATGCATTGTGTAGTCCTGTTGACCACCATTTGTAGCCGCCTCACCATTTCGTTGATCCTCGGATTTTTTATCCTTGCTCTTGTCTTTCTCCTGCAAAAGATTGCAGACATCTTGCTGATTTATGGTTTCTGTTGCCTGTCAAAGAAAAGCGTAAGAGAATATTAATTCGTTTGATCCACTTTAACCCCTTAATTGCGGATTATGAAGATTTTTCCTTATCGTCAAATCTTCATCATCGCAATTAAGGGGTTAACTGAAAGTTGAATCATTTGGGGAGTGGAGAAGTTTTTTATTTACCTGATGATAGGTTCGTTTCTCTTGCATCACTGGCGAATTTGTAGGTCTTTGTTGAACAGGCTGAGCCTGGGAGTAGGGAACGTTTGTGTAGTGATGAACATTGCTGTTTGGGTAGGAAGTTTTGTTGTTCATCATCACCTGGGACTGGGCAGTTTGAACACTGTTTGACTCTGGACGATATTTTCCCATGACCGGCACTCCGATTGGAGGCTGATTTGGAAAGTGATTTGCATATCGAGCACTTGCACCCCCAGAGCCGTCGGTCGTAAATTGATGGATACTCGGTATAGTACCAGGAAAGTGACCTCCGAACGGCGGGAAATTCATGGCGAGCCGTCAATCTGATACCTGAAGAGCACAACGTTTAATTAGTTTTGAAAAATTTCTTTAGTTATTGAAAACAGGATAGAGATTAAAACAAATAGTTTTACAAATAGAAATCTAGTTATTAGATTCTCTAATTAAGTATTTCGTTGTTACCTCGTTATGTTTATCACGCTCTATCACCGATACAAAGCACTCGAAAAAAGAGAAAAATCATCTCGACGACGTGGGTCATGGACACGCGCCGCACTCTCGATTTCCATGAGGTAGGACGGATTATTTATTTTATTTACTTACAGTGATGTCTCTCACTCCCCATGTTTCACTACTATTTCGAAAGCAATTTCCCTCTTTTCGTTTTAATAAATAAAGAGTGGGGTTATATACCGGATCCGCAAGTGTAATTTTTCCAGTGGATTTCCAGTAATGCAAAAGAAGCACCACGCCGCCTATCACAATGGATGGCACCAGCACTGCCACCACTTTCTCTCTTTCCCTCTCCTACACACTTTGCGGTCACCTGGACACCACGTCTAGCCGCCGTCTACGAAGAACAGGTTGACGTGATAGTAATCCCCATGACGATGGTGCGAAATGTCCTTGGATTATATTTTGCGCACGTGAAGTTGAGAAGTATTTTTGCACGAGGAGAAAAAAAAAGTCGGAAACGAGGGTGAGGCAAACGATAGTACATATAGAGGAGGAAAAGGCTGTGTGAGATACTCGGGTGAAGACGTGACACGGGGGGATGATTGTCGGGGGAAAGCGGCGCGACGAGAACAAGAGAGAGTGAGAGAACACCATAAAACCAGTTGGAAATGGAATTGGGGTGTGAGAGAGATGGGATGAGGTTTACGAACTGAGAGGAGGGTAGGGGGAGAGAGCGCGAGCGCGTCTCTTCCCCTCCCGCAACACCCGCCGCGCGAGCGAGTAGTCGATACCGGACCGAATTCGCACGAAATTCAGCATAAAATGGCTGTTCACTGTCAGCTTGTGGATGGTATAAAGCGTTCTCTTCCGATGTCGCGATTTTAAACCAAGATAAGACCATTTGCTTACCATTTAAATAAATCCAGGGTGGTCCGTTGCTATCGGCCAGATGAGAAACACGTTTATATTTTTCCAGTATAAAAGGTTGGAGGATGATCCCCCGCGGGCCGTTGACACCTGTCCCTCAAGTCAGCTAAGCCCCCACCCCACCCGTCCGCCCTCTACTGTGCCGGCCTCTTAACTATTTTTTCTCTCTCGGCGGCCCGCGGCCGCGCCGGCGAAAATGCCCGAATCCATCCCAACGACCCGCGCCATTTCTCCCTTTTTAGTATATATTATGAAAAAAAAAAGAATCCTCCCAACCCCCGTTCATGTAGCATTAGCCGCTTTACTCTTGTCACTTTTGATTAAATTTTCCATCAAATACACCAATTAATCGATTCTCCGATGCGTTTGTTTGAAACTGTTTGAAACATTGACCTTAATTGATTTCACAGATTTGTTACACATTACATTTTTTTTATATTTCTCACAAGGATAGAAATTTTGATCTGTAGAAAAATTATAATAAAACACCAGAATTGTATTAAAGGTACGTTTTATTGTATCATTTGTCCAATATCAGTAAGTAACAATGAAAAGGCTTACTAACTAACGATGATAGCTACATTATTAATAAAATAATAGTTATATATTTTTCGTAGATCTATACCCACTGCCTTTATTGTGATACTTACAATAAAAATTGTTTTTATTTATACTTTTTTTAATATATATATATTTATATATCTGCATTTTCGAGAATGCTTCGAAAAGGCTTACGTCCCAGAACGATTATCCTTTTTTTTTACAATTTTCAATCTTTTTCACGCCGCATTTACAAATATTGATTTTCGTCAGACGTCAAATAGTAACACTCATATTCGTAAGATTACCAGGTCATTCTTTTTTTTCTCTCAATGTCATCAATTAGTGAATACAGTAGTATGAAAGAAATTTCTACTATGAAACATCGACTATAGGTTAAAATGCTTTTCTTTCTTTCTTTTGAAGATTTATACGAAATTTCATACTCTTCGTTTTAATGAGATTTATACCAAAGTTCATACTCTTCTTTTTTTGAATCGAAATGTAAGAATGAAATTTGGTTTGTTTCTTCTTGTGCACTGCATGGAAATTAAATGCATGCACAGTGACAATGATTTGACGGCGAAATTGTTGACAATTTAACAGAATTTAAAGTTTTGAAATGTAAATAATAAATCATAGGTAATCAGGTGCAAAATATGAATCTACTTTCGGCTTGTGATTTATCATCCACCCATAACATTTTCCACGCGGTTCGCAATTAGCTAATAAAATTGTTTTCATAAGATTACAAAACAAGTGAATTAAGAGTTAATATTCAGTTTTTGTAAATGACAAAAAAATCCTTTTTTATTGGATTCCAAAAATCATACTGAATGTTAAGTAAACAAAACATAAATTTCCGTAATGTTTTTTTTTTAATTATCCCTTCCCCTAAAAATCCTGGTTTTTTTACATAATTCATGAATCCTTTTACAAAGAAACTTTCGTCCTATAAAAAGGATTCAATCATAACAACATAAGTTAATTTTGCTTCAACTTTAAAAAAAAACCACTTACGGAACTAATTTATATTTTCTCCTTTAAAACAAAATCATTCCTAACGTGTTTAACCCATCCACTTTTTATATTACATTTTCAATATATTAATTTTCTCCAACATTTTCAATAATAAAAAAAAGGAAAAAAAAATATTATAAATCATTACAAAAAGAGAAAAATATGAATGTACAATTTTTTTTCCAAAAGTCAATGAATTTTTCTGTCAATCATAAATAGAATGACTTTTGGAACAACTATAGTGGATTGTTAAATAGAGAAGGAAAAGTGTCGTATACTAAATAATACTTAATAACCTATCAAAAAAAAAAAAATAAAAAAAATTCTCCCACCATGACAGCTCTAATTAATTCCGAGCCATTCTTTAAGTAAGGCAGAAATAAATTAAAAATATAATTTAAAAAAATTCCATATTTGCACTTCGCAGTCTTGTTTCGAAATCGGTAAGATGAAAAAAACCGCTCGATGGATATTTACAGTAGTTTTTAATTTGAGGACATCAATCGTTTTCTCTGTTACAATTTTTTTTTTTTTCGTTTTTTCGTAACGAGTCCTTCTTTTTGCAGAGCGTTTTTCTCTTGGCCAAAGAACCTAAACAGCATTCATTTCATCTCCTAGCGAATCCAGTTCGCGCTCTCAAAAATATATTCTTATCTAATATATTTATATTTATTTATTTATATATATATATTTATACTTTTCTTCCTTTATAATATACTTTTTTTCCATAAAAATTCTAATTCGTCTTGAGAGTTGGAATCGGTTTTTTTTAAATTATGTTGGACGAAACGTTTCAAAAGTGAATTTGATCTAATTCGAAAGTTGCAAAAACAAATGATTTAGTACAAATTGAATATTGAAACGGTATTAATTTCATCAAACTCTAAATGCGAATAATGAATATTTTATAAATTAGAAAATAGTGAGAAACTTTAAAACTAGTGCAATTGGGGCTTATGAATTTTCTGTTTTTGATAAAAAAAAAACTTGCAGTACAAAGTTAAATTCTTGAACTGTAAGTTTTTTTTATACTTACGGAATAAAAATAGGTGATCTTTTTTGGAAATAGTGACCTTTCGAAGAATGTTGAATGCCCTTTTTAATTGTTGCCAATTTTACTTTGCCCTGCCCTTGGCTTGTTGATGATTAAATCGGAAGTACCGCCCGGTTTGACTTTGGGCGGTGGGCTGCTGCTAATGTTGTTGTTGTTGCTGTGGTTGATGATGAAGCATTGTGATGGCTCCAGTTTCGGCAGCCGTTGGTAGAACAACCGTGGATTGTTGACTGACGGAAATTTGATGAATTTGCGCCGAAGGTCCTTGACCTAGTTGTATTTGAATTTGAGGCAATTCTGTCGCTTGGATCTCGGGTTGTGATTGCTGTGATTGATCGCTTTGTTGATTTTGGGTGATGTCGTTTGGACCGAGGGGATCTTCTTTTGCTCTCTTTGCCAAATGGGATCGCGCGTGTTTTCGAAGGTGATCCTTTCTGTAGAAGGCTTTTCCGCATTCGGTACAGACCTCGGTCTTTTGGCCCGAGTGAATGACGAAGTGGAGATTTAAATGTTCTTTTCGTTTGAAGCCCTTCATGCAAACGGAACAGATGAAAGGTCGATCGGGATTGTGTCCAAGCTTATGCCTCTCTAAGTGTTCTTTGCGCTTGAGGCCAGCGCCGCAGATATCGCAGATGAATCGCCTTTCGATTTTGTGACCGATGAGATGTTGCTCGAGGAGTTCTTTTTCGGGATATGCCATGTTGCATTGGGGACAGCAGAAGAGGGTTGTGCCGTCGAGGGCGGTGACAATGCTGACTTGGCCTGGCTTGGGCTTCTTCGGCTTTGGTGGTTTCTTCTTGTATTTCTTCTTGCGTTTGGGTTTGGCTCCGGACTCGGGGTCGTCGACAACGTCGGGTATGATTTCGGTTTCGCCACCGGCGACTGTTATTTGTACGGCTTGCTCTCCGGATGCGGCACTGCCGGAGGCGTCTAGTCCGTCAGCACCCAGGGGACTCGACTCGATTGTTGCCTCTCGCTTGATGGTTTCGGCGGAGAATTTCAAAAAGTGATGAAGACTAAGAGGTAGAGTGCTGGCTGGCAGTCGGGATAGATAATCGGCAACGGTGGATCCGGGCGTGGCGAGACTCTGCCAACTGGCGGGCATCGAGGTTATAAATTCCTCGCCACTAGTTTGACTCGCTTGTATTTTTCCGCTACCGCGTTTAATTAACGCTACTGGCGTAGTCGCTATGCCTTCCTTAATATCCTCTTTTGAATCCTCCAATCCTTCGCGGAGAATAAGATCCTGAGGGATTTGTGCGACGACAGTTAAGCCCTCGGGGGCACCAGGAAGCTGAACCGTCTGTTGAATTGTTTGTTGCGAACTAGTCGTCACCGCTGTCGACGTACTCTGCGTCGTTTGGTCCGATCTGTTCAAAAGAAATTCAATTTTTAACTTCATTTTTATATTATTTTTTAAAATTTTTTTAAATTGATTCTCATTTTTTTATACTTACGTGTGTGTCGTTGCAATCGTGTTTTGTGGTTGGACTTGTATTTGCACTCCATCGGAACCCTGTTGACTGTAAGCGACAGTTAAAACCGTAGCACCACCCTGGGGAAATTGGCCAAGAGAGATTGGTGCTAAATGATATTTCGGTTGATCCCCGCCATTTCCACTTTGCGTTACATTTGGATTGACCACCTGTATCTGAACCGTTTGCTGCTGTTGAGTTCCGTCTTTTCCAGGCACGGTGATTGGAAGTGTTATTATCTGCTGTTGATTATTGCCCCCCGATATTGTAGCAAAACCATTTGTATTGAGTGGTCGTAGATATTGAACTCCACCTTCTCCGCCAGTCAAGACTCCAACAAGTTGCTGTTGGCCATCGGTTGTTAAATTTTGTGCAAACTTTGTGGTGGCCAATTGATGCACAGTACCGGCCGGTAGTGAACCGGCGGTAAAACCAGGAAATGGAGTGAAATTCATCTTTGACAGTTAGCAAACCTAAAAATTAAATTTTGAAAATTAGTAATTTTAAAAATAAAATATTTTTAAAATAGGGGTAACAGATTCGAATTGTTTAGAAGAGATAATGTCAAAAAAAAAAAAAGAGATAGAAGGAGAGAAGAATTAAGAGAATAGAAGAATTGAAAGAATTTCGCATGAGGGAGCCCACAGAGATTACACAAAGCGAAGCTTAAGTGCCCTAAGGTCACGAGTGTCCCCCCCTAGCCGCAGTTCCCCCGTCAGGACCAACCCCCTTCCCACTCGTCTCGCCATCTTCGTTATCCGAACAAGAAGAGTCAAAAGTCGTCGGTCGTCACGTCGCGACGAAGATACGTCGCCGTACACTGATCTCGAGCGTCGCATCTTTGTGTATGTTGAATTTCATGGGGGTGGGGTTGAGGTAGCCCCCACTTCACCCCCGTCCCCACCCCAATGGGGAACCGGGAGCAGGGAGAATAGTCATCGAAGTGGCCCAGGATAGCACCCCACTCCACCACGTGGTGCCCCACGGGGGTGGGCGCGCAATGTCGAGGGGATTATGGTAGGGGGCAAGAGGAACAGGAGGTGGCGGAGGAGGAGGAAACCCATAGGTGGGAAAACGGGAACACAAAGCGAAATAGGACTTGGCCTCACTCACTCTCCCTCTCTCTCTCTCTCCCTCATCTCTGGCTTGCACCTCTTCGGACGTATCGTGCGAACGAGATACCAGGAAAGGAAGGAAGGAAGGGTGTTCGGATCACATCCAAGGGTAGGGGCATGTCAAGAAAAAGAAGGGAGCCTCGTGCATCGAGATCCCCCAAGTATTGGGAGAGGGAAGCAAAATCTGTCGAGAACACGTTGAGTCGACACCAAGTGGGACACACTATGTGCCTCCCTTCCGAGATTACCACACGCATTGCCAAGGGTCAACCCCAAACTCCACGTGCATTCACTCTGCCACAAGCTTCTCGGCACTTACCTGCTGATGCAACATTTCGAGGTTAGAATCCCCCTGAGAGCTCTACTATTCTAGTGACGATACTAAACTCGACTTTTTTTCTAATCGACCGAATCTTTCATGTTTTTCACCGAAAATCGAAGTCAATTATAGACTCTATTCCTCGAGCACTATTGCACCGACATTTAGAATACTATAAATGACGCGTCGATTTTTCCGTGTCTAACACCAGAAAAGAGAGAGCACAACTTGGTGGCGTGAGACGCCTCTCCGTTACTGGACTCAAACGAGGCTTTCGCAAGACGCGCATGTCGTAATGGCGGATCGTTGAAGGACGCGTGTCAACCTGAATCCAACGATATATTCCCTACATTCCTAAAAAGGTTAAAAATAAAATAAAGAGAAAAATTTTGTTTTGAAAAAAAAGGAAAAAAGTAAATCCAAATCCATGGGAATGTGTTTAAAAAAGCATTGAGACAAGCCAAGGGTTTATAAATGACTTGGGCGTTGGTCGACACGTCATCAATCCGCCATGATGAAATGCCAAAAGGCACATACTGACTGATCAAGATGTTGCAAGTTCCGTGAAAGCTAAACACCCCAAAGTGTGAAAAGCCCCTCTCGAATCTTCTACCTCCACTTTCACCTCCTACCCCAAGGTTTCCGACTAGTTGGCAATGTCATTGAATCCCTTTCCTCGTGGGGGCTATAGGCAACAACGAATATAGAGGAAGTGGAGGAAAGCAAAGGCTCAACAGTGAGTTGAAATGGTAGGAAATGAAACGAAACGAATTGGAGGCAGAGTATAGTAGAGGCACAGGGCTGTTGTTTACACCCCCACCTCGATGGGTTAGAGGCAAGCGAGATGCCACGGAGGGGCCTCGGCGAGACCTCGGCGGGCACCCACCACCACGCAATTTCCAACCCCACCAGCTTCTCAACCACTGTCCGCACCTCCAACCACCCCACCAAAGCCAGCAGCTCGAGCCAGGCCGAGAGCCACGGCGAGGGCCCCGCGACGATTTTAGTGTCTTGGGGTGGGTGCTCTCTGTGGCCACTGTTTCGCGGTTTCTCTCCCATCGTCCCCAGGTTATTTCACTAACCTTATTCCCTCGTCAAAATGCAATTCACAACTCTCGCACTACGGGGTGACAACAACAACAGCCAACAAGTTTTCACACTACTTTAATGCACCACGTCTTCGATAAATGCATACGCACCAAATATTATTACATTGGAATTATTTTGTCCTACTTACCACACAATGACTGTGAACTCTGTGGTTTGTGTACCGCAACTGGTGCGCTGTTCTCGTCGAGAATTAGCGTGTGGCGCGTTCCCAATATTCAGTAAAGTGACGGCAACTTTCTCATTTCAATGAGGGGCCCGTCCTGACTCAATTCCCAATTGCACACGTCATTCGATTTTTTGTGAAGCATAAAAAAAAAGTCACTTTGATTAGTTTTTCACAAAAACTAAAAACACTCCGTAGACTCGACACGCTGCTTTCGATGTTCTGATCGGAGTGCTCTTGAACGCGGTAACAGAGAGAGAGCGTAGGCTTGACCAACGGGGAATGAATTTTCAAGCTAACGGTACACATCCACCGGCGGCACGTTATGTGTCGTGTCAGTTGTTTCGTCAATGAGTCTACGCCACTGTAATGTTACGATATTGAAACTCAACGTTGACAATGTCTACGAGACTGTTCTCGAGGAATAGGAACATCTACACGGCTTGACATCATTCTTTACTTGTACTTTGAATCCTTTTTTTTTCTCCTCAACGAAAACGAAAGCCTATTTTAATATTCCACCAAGTATGACTATGGCGGTCGTTGTATTTTTGCGACGTGTGCGTGTAAAGTTTACCGCGCTTGCGCATTCGTATGCAACTCTGGCCCTTTGCAATGACAGTCCTTTTAAAAAGTCCTTTTAAGAAAAAAGGACATTAAATGTCTTTCTTATTTTTAAACTTGACACGTTTAGCTCCTAATGGAAAAAAATGCACTTCACTTGAATTTCTCTTCGAGAAAATTTTCTTTATTCGTTTCGCTCTAGGAAACAGTAATAACTGCGTGCGCAACTTTATCGAAGTGCAGCAGCAACAGAAGCAGCTGGTCTTACTCGATTATTGATACAGTCATAAAACGATTAGTCGACATTAATGATGGCGGGAAATTTTATTTTTAAACGTAAAAAATAATTTTCCTGAAACCTCTTTTTATTTTGGTAAAAAAAATTACTAAAAACAATTTTACAAATATTTCAAAACATAGTATTTTTGATTTTTTTTAGTTAATATTTTCGAAATTAAATGCAGGAATCGCACTCATCTACTGAAACCTTATTTACTACTTTTTTTTACGATTTCCTGCTATTTGGATACTTTTTTTTATTTGTTACACTAAAAGCTACTTTTTTTTCTTTCTTTTTAGAATTTACACTACTTTAAATTTGTTAACAGTAGAAACAAAAAAAATTATATTTAAAAATTTTAATAAAATTCTTTAAAACGATTCAATTATTTTCACAAATCTACTATTTTAATGAAAAAATTTCACAAAAAAATTGAAAAATTTAGAAAAAATGTTTATAAAATTCTTTGCAAATATGTACATTTAATTATTTTCATAAATACAAAAATTTTCTCAGGAATTCAATTATTTATAACAGAATTTTCCTAATATTTTTCGAAAAAAATCAATTATTTAAATAGATTTTTATAAAATTCTTCTCAGGAATTCAATTATTTTTTTTAATTTTAATAATAATCGTTGCAAGAATTCAATTATTTTTATAAGTATTAAAACTCATCAAAAAATTTCTATTATTTTATTCAATTATTTCTCAGGCAAGAATTCAATTATTTTTATAAATAATAAAATTCTTCTCAGGAATTCAATTATTTTTTAAAATATTTTAATAATAATCGTTGCAAGAATTCAATTATTTTTATCAATATTAAAATTTATCGCAGAATTTCAATTATTTTTAATATAATTTTAAATGAATTGATCGAAAAATAAAACTATTCTTACAAATTTTAATGAAATTCTTTATAATAATTGAATTATTTTCATAAATGATATACAATTTTTAAAGAAATTCAATTACTGAAAAATTAAAACACAATTTTCATAACATTTTTTGAAAAAAGTCTTTTTTTTAAAGATTTTTTTCAATTCTTCTCAAGAATGCAATTATTTTAAAAACTTTATTATTAATTAATAAAAATTCTTCGAAAAAATTCAATTACTTAAACAAATTTTATATAATTTGTTTCTTAGAGTGTAATAATTATTTTCAATTCATTTTTAATTACTTTTTTTAAATGAATTTAATTATTATAAAAAATTTTAATGCAATTCTTCTTAAAAATTTAATTATTTAAAAAAATGTTGACAAAGTTCTTTATAAGAATTAAAATTTAAGAAATATTCAATTATTCAGTAAATTATTTATTTTTGTATTTAAATAATTTCATTCTCGTAGAACTTTCTAATAAGAATTTATTTAGAATTGAATAAAATAAAATGATTAAAGTTTTGAATAATTTTATTTATAAATTTCAAGAAAAGAACGATTGAATTTTGAAAGAATTACTTTTGGAATTTTTAGAAATAGTTAAATTTCAAAAATGCGATACATTGAAATCATTTGAAATATTTTAATTCCTGTTGACAAAATAAATATTTAAATACTTAAGTACTTGTGTAAAAAAGTAAATAAATATTTAAATACTTTCATGTAAATTGGTAATTAAATATGTACTTGAGTGTAAATAAGTAAATAAATATTGAAATATGTACTTGAATGTAAATAAGTAAATAAATATTTAAATATTTCAGTCTAAATAATAGATAAATGTTTAAATACTCAAAGAAAAATGCATGAATGTATTTCTTCTATTTAATTTAACTTCACTTGCATATTAATTGCTAATTACATTAGTATCTTACTTGTTACGGTGACATAATTTTTTTTTTATACAATTAAATTAGAGAATTACAACAATCATTTATACTGTTTTTGCAAAAATTGTTTGCTCATCGACGCTTAGAAAAAATAATTCATATTCAATTAATTATTAGTTTATTTTAGACACAAAAATTAAATCTTAAGTGCGCATATACTTTAATAAAAGAGAAACATAATGGATCTCTATTTTATTTAGCAGTCTCTTAGTGCGTAAATTTTTATAAATCTAACTAAAATTTAATTATTATAAAAATATATATATGTACGTGTGTGTAAGCACAAAAATTCTTAGAACTGACAATTTAACTATTTTTGTTTACCTTTAACTCCTGATTAAGGAGTCAATTTCTTTTATTTATATATAAATATTTTTTGTTTGTAATTCAATTTTAGAATTACGTTTTTTCTTGATTTTATTCCTGTTTTTCCCTTTTTTTTCTTTTTGAATGATATGACGTTAGAAATCGAAATATCAGTAGAGTGTATTAATCCTTTGCATTCGTTCAACGTAGAGATTGTATAAAAGTTTATTTGTTTCGTAGTAATAGGGATTTTGATTGGAATTTAAATCTGGAGTGTATTCTGATGTATAACTTTGACTTGAACTGTAACCATCGCTCGAGGGGCTTCTCGATGGCTCTGAATGATTTGACGACGCTATTAAATTATGCTTTTCCCATTGTGAATTCATTTTTTCAGTTGCCGTTTCTGGTAGACGTGAGAAATTATTAATGTGCAGATTATTGATTCTTTTACTTAATGGCATGAATTCGCTGGAATTTTCCTCCTCTGCATTGCGACCACGTTTTCTGTGAAGAAGAAAATTTATTTTAATAATTTCTTCTGTTTTTATAACTGTGGTTGATATTCAAGTTTACAATTTTTGTTAATTTGGAGTTTAAAATTTTGAATTCTAAAAATGGAAATGTAACGAGAACGAAAATTATTTGAAATTTATTTTTGTATCCTCTCTAATTCTATTTTTCACATCCATCAGAAAAAAGATATTTTTGACTCAGAGAAAACTGGAGACTTTTTATTTGTTTCAAATAAATTTTACTTGGTTCAAATAAAATTTATTTGTTTCAAATAAATTTTACTTGGTTCAAATAAAATTTATTTGGTTTAAAGAAAATTTTATTTGGTTCAAATAAAAAATTTATTTATGTCGAATAAAATTATTATTTAAAACAAATAATTCTAGTCGACTCTGCGAGACAAATTTTAATTTAACTCAAATAAATTATATTTGGTTCAGATAAAATTTTTCTCTGGGTGAAAGTTTCGAACCTTCAAAGAATGAAATTTTCTTTGTTTGAATATTTTGAAAACTAAAGAAAAATGATTAAAATTAAATATTTACTTAGTTAATAATTAATGATTCAAATTCAATTTGTGGAAAATGAAAAATAAACATTGTAAGAAGCTCTTAACAATAATACGAAAATAAGATAACAATTTCTTTGTCTTATTGTTATAAATAGTTGATTCATTCTTAAATTAATATTTTTCGAAAACTTATTTTTGCAAAAAAATAATATTTCATATTTTTCTCTTGCATTTAAAAATAATAAATAAACATAAAATATTAGTAAATATATTTTTTACGTGTTTGTATTTTAGAATAAAAACAATGTTTAAAATGCACATGAAATTACTACTAATTGCGTCTTTAGAGAAAGATTTTTTTTCCTTTTTCTAATATTGAAGATAATTTTTTTTTAACAGAAAACTAGACTCGAAATAATTCCCTTTCTTTGTTTGACCCATAAAATGATTCCAACTTTCGTGACTCCGAAAATATTCCAAAGAAAATTGTGTAATGTATTTATGGACTCTTTTGGAAATATGAGAAAATTATTGTTTTCAATTTGCTTTCGAAACTTATAACACTTTCGAAAAGGATTAAATATTTAGTTTTGAATTATCAATTTTTTTGGTATAAAAATATTCAAGTATTTTTCCCTTTAAAATAAATTGTCAAAGATGTCAAAAAATATAAACATAAACTAACCTGTTTGCGTGAGTCATCCTGTTATTTAATGTTTAGTCTTGAAATTTTTTCGAATTTTAACGATATACCATTTCTGAGAATCCAAATAACATTCTTTTTTGGGAAAATTATAGTCCTTTAATTATTGATTTTGTCCTGGGGAGGCAAAAAATGTCAAACAATCAAAAATCTGATGGGAGTGAGAAACTTCTTTCCTTTTAGAAACTTCCTTACAGTAGATTCTATTTTGTTTTTGTTCATTCGACACCAGAAGGCGACAGTTGTTCAATTCCTATGGAAATTGGAAATTTTTCATATTTCCCGCTGGTTGCATTTTCTTTTCAGGACTTTTACACCAGTCGCCATTTGACGGATTTTTCCGCAATTGAAATAACAATAATTTCTGATTTATCGACTGAAAATTGATTTTCGTTTTTATATTCGGACAGTGCTGCCTCCATGACGTAATTAACTTTAAAATAAAAAATATTGAATATTTAACAATTTTTTTACAATTATTTTTTTTTTTTTGCAATTAGACTTTGTTTTAGTTGAAAACTGTTTATAAAAAAAATAGGAAGGTATTTTTAATTTTTTTATTTGCAGTTTAAAATTTACAAAAAAATTCTAAAAATGTAGGTAAACATTTTTTTATTTGCAGCATTTTGCAAATTTTTGGAAAAAAAAATGTTCAGACACTTTTATCATAGAAAGTGTAAATTTTCTATTGTTGAAATAATATTTTTCAAGGTATCTAGAGTTATATCACTATATACAGTCACACATGTTTTTTAAACAAACGTTTATCTAACAATATACTTAATTGGCAAGAAACAGATAAGAACATTCATGCCCATATATGGACATTCTGTTTCGGTGTTGCGTCACTGTATGTACTTCATCGAACTATATTATAAGCACGGATAAGGAAATGAATTGAAATTGTCCTTCAAAATAAATCCAAAAATAATAAACAGCTTATATTTATAATACTTATCCGAAATTTGATCGTACGACAATTAATAAAGTAGATTAGTAAATATTTAATTTTTATTTAACTATCTTCCTATATTTACTTGTAAAATTTGTAAATTAATGTTTCATTAAATAGTATTAATTAATTAATTTTAATTGATTAAAATAATTATATTACCAACGATTATTTGCTAATAATTTACATACATTTACTAAATTGCATTCAGAATCAAATTCAAATCAAATCAAATTCAGCCTCAAACTCATTTACTAATTTTCACAGGTATTCAATTTATTATTTAAAACAGAAGTTTCCTAATATTTTTCGAAAAAATCAATTATTCGCAAAAATTCAATTATTTTTATAAATAATAAAATTCTTCTCAGGAATTCAATTATTTTTTGAAATTTTAATAATAATCGTTGCAAGAATTCAATTATTTTTATAAATATTAAAATTCACAGCTGTTATTTCAATTATTTTTAATATAATTTTAATTTTAAATGAATTGCTCGAAAAATGCAACTATTCTTACAAATTTTAATAAAATTCTTTGAAAGAATTCAATTATTTTAAAAAATCTTAAAGAAATTCTTTATAATAATTGAATTGTTTTCAATACAATTTTAATAATTTTTTTAAAAGAAATCAATTATATTCATAAATAATATACAATTGTCAAAGAAATTCAATTACTTAAAAATTAAAACACAATTTTCATTAAATTTTTTGAAAAAGATTTTTTTAAAATTCTTCTCAAGAATGCAATTATTTAAAAAACTTTACTAAAGTTCTGTGAAAAAAAATCAATTATTTTCATAAATAAAAAGAATTTCACAGGAATTCAATTATTTAAAACAGAATTTTCCTAATATTTTTCAAAAAAATGAATTATTTAAATAAATTTTTTATAAAATTCTTCTCAAGAATTCAATTATTTTTATAAATAATAATATTCTTCTCAGAAATTCAATTATTTTTTAAAATTTTAATAATAATCGTTGAAGGAATTCAAATAAAATTTAAAGAAATTCCGTGAAAAATGAAACTATTCTTAAAAATTTTAATAAAATTCTTTGAAAGAATTCAATTATTTAAAAAAAGTTTAATGAAATTCTTTCTAATAATTGAATAAAAATGAATAAAATTTTTTGAAAGAATTCAATTATTTTCAGAAATAATACAAAATTTTCAAAGAAATTCAATTATTTAAAAAAAATTTTCATAACATTTTTTGAAAAAAATCATTTCTATAAAAAAGATTTCTTTAAAATTCTTCTCAAAATTTCAATTATTTTAATATCTTTAATAAAGTTCGGTGACAAAAATTCAATTATTTTCATAAATAATAAGTCATCATCGCAGGATTTCAATTATTATATAATTTTAAATTAATTCCGCTAAAAACGCAATTATTCTTAAAAATTTGAATACAATACTTTGAAAAAATTCAATTATTTAAAAACATTTGATATAATTTGTTTCTTATAGAGTTTAATAATTATTTTCAATTCATTTTTATTTACCTTTCTTGAATGAATTTAATTATTTACAAAAATTTTAATGCAATTCTTCGTAAAAATTCAATTATTTTAAAAAATGTTGACAAAGCTGTTTATAAGAATTCAAATTTAAAAAAATATTCAATTATTCAATAAAAACGCAATTATTGTTAAAAATTTGAATGAAATTCTTAGAAGAAATTCAATTGTGGATTTTAAATTATTAAAAATAAATATATAATTCTCTCTAAATCTGAATCGGTTAGAATTTTAACTGTTTTGAATCAGAACTTTTTGCTTTCAAATTAGTTCAAATATATTGATTATTATATTTTATCAGTGGAAGAAATATTTTACTAGCAAATCAGTAAATTCTAATTGATTCAAACATAAAAAGTCAGTCACTGATTCAAATAACTTAATATTTCTATACTGATTTAGGTTCAGAGAATAAATAAATATTTATTAAAATAAATGTATAATAAATAAATTTTATTATAATAAATAAATAATAAATGAATAATAATTAAACTTATTATTATTAAAAATTCTGCGGGAAATAATATATAGTATAACTTGTAAAAAAAGTGTGAAATTATAAAAATATTTAATAAATGAATAAATTTTGTAATTGAAATAAATAAATAATTTTTAGGATTTATTTGAAATAAAATAATGTCCATTTTGAATAAAATGGCAATAATTTATAATCAATAATTCATAATTCGTCGGCAATAATTCGAATTAAAATAAAATAATTTAATTCAACTATCAAAATATTGGTGTATCGACATATCAGAAATATGTGATTCATAAAATGCATATGAGCTAATTAAAAATACTACTATAGAGAAATTACGCTCAATGATTCATTCTTGTGAGAAGTATATACGTATAGAAGTGATAAATTCTTGGTAACGCGTGTGGAATACCAGGGAGACACGAACTCTCTTGTCATACTTGAATTCTATGAGTCATACAACTCCATACTGATAGAAAATTTAGTCACAAGTTTTTATATATACATAAAAAAAAAGATGAAACACTGCTTTTGAAAATATTTCCAAAGATTTAAATTAAATATGACTTCCTAGAGGCGCATATACAAAAGGAGAAAATATTTTTTTGAAACATTGGTATAATAAATTTTTTTTCTAAAATCATTTTTTAAATTATATTTTATGTATTATAACTATTAGATTAGTATTGTTAATCGTTGTCTATGAGTAATATATGTGTTTTTTATGTTTATCATTACACTAAGTATAAGTATTTATTTTTAGTGCAAGGAAAAATGTGATAGTGTAATTCTTAATTTTTATTTATTACAAAGTGTAAAACTTAAGTAATGTAATATTTTTTAACTGTTAGAATTACCTGCATGCAATTCTGCAATAGCAACTTCTACTATTTCCGATATTTTAATAATTTTTATACCAAAAGTATAACATTGGAAATGGAAAAATTAACTCCGGATGTAGTAAAAGTTGATGCAGAGTTTTTTGAATGTATCAAATTTGATACACAAGGTTTGGGTCCAATTCAGTTTTTCTATACGGATATCAAAACGTTATGTTATACGGACAATAACGTATCAAAATTTTTCCAAGCGTTTTTGATGCGCTTTTCGCCTCAATTTGATATCATTAGAAAAACTGTATTATGATTAATGTAATGGTATCAATTCGTTGCAATTTGATACTTTCGCAGAAATTCCAGACAGTTTAACTTTTACAATGAAAGTATAGTAAAAATTACTTTGTTCCTTTTTTCCTTATACAGATTTTATTAGATTAGTGAACGGATATATGTTAGTGTAGATGATGCATTGCAACATTGTGGCAATATTGATTATTTTTGCCTTGTGACAGCTTTGAGGGGGGTAACATTTTAAAATACGTTACGCATCAAACTTACGAAGTTATTACTTCGTATGTTAAAATAGAATAGAAATTTATTGCATTAGAAATATTCAGAAATTATTGCTACAATTACTGTAATTCTTTGGTTGAATGTGACTATGAGATTTATGTACACTGCAGCTAGTAGAACCAAATGCAACTTAATTATTTTTAGTACAGTAAACAATGTTTACAGAATTATTACATAAATGAATTTTATTATATTTTTACAATATATTCTGGAACTGACAATTATAGACAATTTGTGATTTTTGTTTTTTCTACAAATTATAGACAATATTCAATATGCAATTAGGCTTTAGGATCTGTGAAAAAAGGACAATATTGAAAATTGTAAAAAAATTCCAAAAATTGTTGCATTTAAACAAGTTCTACTGTTGTACGTTACAGAAATCTCTTTAACACGTACTATAATTATATTCGTATTCATTTAATTAATGTAAGATTTTTTTTGTTTGCTTCCAGGAAGTTCGCACCAAAACAGAGACTCTCACTGGCACTTCGGACTTAAATTTCAAAAAGCAATGTGTTGACATTCGTATGGAAACAAAAGGGACAGTTTTGATTAGCAAATGTTTGGACTACATCGCTACTACCAAAAATTCAAAATTTTATTGACTTTATAATAGAATATTAGCTTCGGGAGTGTTCGGATTTTTAATCACGCGCGTAACTTTAGGGTTTCTTTTTCTTTGTTTCGGGAGTGCTTATTTCGGTTTTAAAACCTCTCTCTCGGTTGTTCGGTCTTTTTTTTTAACCTAAGAACTTCTAAAAATCCTACGGATGAGCGATTTTTTAGATCATAAGTGCGGGAGTGTTCGCGAAGTTTTTTTTTCTAAATTCGTACTAGT